CCACATGCATTCGTACTTGATCAATAAATTATTCTTTGTAGCTATTTTGGTTATTTCGGATGTATTAGTTCCTAGTCCTTAATCCATAGGGTTTCTACACTTTTTAATTTTTTGAAAAGTAGCACATATATATTCAACGCATAATTAATCACTAATTCACGTAATTAATTGTAACTGATTATGCATAATTATGCATTTATTTGTGCATATTTATAATTGATATATAAACTGCTGACAACAAAAAATTAAACTAATCGAATTAAACACAAAATCTTATCATATTTATATAAAACTTTTAAAACATTTCTGTCACATGTATGTCGTTCTATTCTTTATCTATTATTATCATCTTATGATTGAAACCGTAATGACATATGTTTTAGATTTCATTTCTCTTAACAAAGTATTATTAATCAAAATTTTGCAACAACAATGAACAAACAGAACTTATAGTGAAAAAAATGTTGGTGTGATAAAGTTGATAAAATCGAAATGTTAGCAGAAGTAAAATGAAAAATACGCTTACATCAATACTATTGGTAGCAAGCCATTCAGCTATCATTGCTAATTTAAATGCTTTACCAAGCAAAGGATTATCCAACTGAGCGAAGAATTCTTTTTCCATCTAAAAATTATTATCAGCTCAATAAAATGTATTTGATAATAATCTGATATAAATAATTTTTTCTTTGGAATACTTTTTATTTTTTATTTTTTTCAACAACAAATGTTTGAAATTTATGAAATTGAATAATATCACTTATATTTGAATTTTTTAAAGTTTTGCAAAAAACATCTATTAATATGCTATCAGATAAATGATAACTTAATCAAATGAGAAGCAACTGATAAGTTTAGTAGTATAAATATACAGATTACATAAAAACCATTGATAACTTATCTCAGCCCTTGTTTCGCTTCTTTCGTAAAACTTCATCCAAATGTCAACAGCACCTTGCTTTTGCCAATAATCTTTTTGCCATACCGATTTCGAAAATGCGGAACAAAGCGTAAATAACGGATCTTCTGGTGGTGGACATAATTTAACAGTTAATCGATAAGTACGCTCTTCGGTTGCCCGACACAAATTACCATCAGTATTTTCTAGCAGCTTCAATTTCCTAAAATTAAATTGACCAAATAAAAGAGAAATGAAAAATTTTAAAATACTGGAAAACTTAAAATCAATTAAAATTAGTGATTTGAAGTATAACAAATGTTTCGTTACTTCTTAAAGTTATGCTAGCAAGTTTTTTTACCACAATATATGTTGAAATTGTTTTACTAGAATAATGATAACTTTGTATTTTTGCACCAATCGCAGTAATAACATTCACGGCCGCACGTTGCTACGTCCATACAACGTAACTTCCCAATTGGTTGAATCATCACGTCAAGTTTCATAGCAAGGCGATTAATATGGACTTCTAGAAGTTAAATACGTGAAAATTTTTAAATTTGCTAAATTTAGTTTTAGATCAAATTTTCTAGGAAATAACAGGATTAATAATTCATAAAAATTGCACGAAAAGTTTATGACAACATCAAATATTTAAGAAAAAGTGGTAAAAACTTGAGCATTTGAAATAATTTTAAATTCATTGTTTGCGTACAAATGAAAAATTAATTAATAGGTGAATGGAAAAAAATTATGCCAACTTATAACTTTAAAACAATTATTCATATACTTGGTGGCAATGTTACATCTATGGACATATCCACGCAATCAGGCCACGTTAATTTTAACGTATCACCATCACGTTCCGATGGATGATTAAATGATGGATTTGCCAATTTAATAGGATCTGTACAATTTTTTCCAGTAATTTCTCGACAACATGATGATGTTCGAGCATCTTTCAATTTTGCAATAAATAAATTCTTGCTAATTACTGCCTAAAATAATTTTATTTTATATATTTGAAAATTCATTTCAATTTAATAACAACTTTAAAATCTGTTTAGAAATCTTTGCCTATTACATTGTTGATTTTTAATTAACCTGTGCTTATGCATGTCAAATATAAAATGACATTATGGATTTAATTCTTTTCGTCAAACTTATGCGACGAATTCATTCTTTGAGTTTCCAAATTTATATAATGATAAATATTTTACTATGAAATTAAAAAAAGATATTGGCTTCAACAATTTCTTGTAAACTTTTATTTGATGTTTTTCGCTGCAAAAAAACAAACAAATAAACTTCCAGTAAATAAATCATCAAATTTAATTTTCTTTTAAATTCATTTCTATCATGCTTAGCTTTTTCCCGTTTCATTTGATAAGTTAATATAAAAAGTAAATTAAAAGAAGAAAATGGGAACAATTGATAAATACATACTTGATAAGAATGGTTGTTAATTTTTTGCACACTCCCTGTGGCAATGGGTACATCCTTATCATTGTAAATGATAGTATTACCGGACTTATCAGCTGCAACTTTACCCACACTGCGTCCTTGTGCATCATAACATTGTGAGATACCTGGTGTTTCTGCTGCAAAATAAAAATAATTGAATTTAATTCTTTTGATTTCGCCAAATTGAAATTATTATTATGACATCAATTAGAGGTAGCATCATATTTATTATAGTATATCAATATGAAATATCCTCCTTCAGAAAAAATATTTATAATAATTAAATTCTATTTTTAACAGAGGTCGATATATATCGCAGCATTTGATAATTAAAAGACAGTAGTAATTTTATCCTAAATATTGCATAATAAATTCTTTACTTATAAACATTCTACCAAATGATTATCATTTTTTAACAAACTTAAGCCGATTTTCACAAACGTAACAAAAATAATCGATATGTCATCGTCATATTTTATCGCACATATCAAAGGAGGTCGCCTTACCAAATTTATGCAACAATTCCAAAAATAAAAAATTTTAAGGACGGAAAGTATCCTTACCAGTACAGTGATATTTTTCAGACCGTCTTCCAAATAATGACTGCGAAAATTCGTCCTTATCATTAACAGTATCAGCTGATAGATAAGCATCGACTTTATGATTATCCTTTTTTATCGTATATGCATATTTACCGTTTTTCCGTTTTTCCTGTATGTTATACATTTTAATATTATTGTCATATGTTTTTTTATTCTTTTAAATTTAAGCGCGATAGTAATGGACAAACGACGTTTTACTCTGATAATTATTATTGATAAAATTTTTATGAGTACATTTCGTTTTGATATGATAAATGATAACTTTTAATAAAAAAATATATGAATATGATAAGATTCAATTTGAAATAGAATAGTAAAATCAAAACTAAAAAAAATAAATTTTTCAAAATAATTAGTAAAAATCATAAAAATTGATAAACTATTTCAAACAACAAAAATAGCATGTATATTATTGAAATTGCAGAAAAATCGTTTAAAAAAACATATTAGTTATTATATCGTATCGGTAGCTTTTCCTCTATGATAAAATGAAATTTGATAAAATCAATTTTGAATGAAATGAAATAAATACCTTGTCAGTATATGAAAGTGTACCGGTACCTTCATTTTCATTCTGACTCTGTGGATTGAGAACGAAATCAAATCGTTCATTGTTAGCTGCAAAATCTGTATCTTTTGGATCTTTCAGGGAACCGCGGGCTGCTGTATCTAACGTGTATTTCCCATCAGCTTTCAAGAATGCATGAAGTCCTTCGCCATCTTCCTTAGTTTTTATCTGACCTCTATAAAAAGATATAAAATAAGGTAAGAGCGAGAAATTTTATTTTATTCATGCATTTTGTCCTTTTAATAATTAACTAAATAATTGCTCAGCTAATTGCCGTACTTCTCAATATAGAGTTTAAAAGAAGTAATAGTAATATTATTAGGAATTAGAATTATGCATTATTCTTTGTCAAACGAATAATATTCATGTTACATCTATTCACAAATATGTCATAAATTATCCGTTTAATTCGATTCAAATTATTTTGAATTTTAAAATTATCAATTAAACTTGAAAAGAATGAATAAAGAGAAAGGGATGAGAAAAGGGAAATATTGAAGAGAAAGAGAAGAAACCGACTTATGCCCTTCAACCTGTGCAATACCGCCTTTATCACCAAATCGTTGTACTTGTGCTCGTTGTCCATTACTTTCTGCTGCTGCCATGTTACCTTGTGCTGATGCACTTAATTGTTTGTCGGAGTTAATCAAATTAAGGATTACCTTTTCCGGATTACTCGCATCTAATGATATCTAAAGAAAGAAAATGAAAGCAAAAAGCTTATTAAATTCTATAAAGATTTGAAAACTTTTTCCTGATATTTTCATGCTTTTATTAAACGAGAAATTAATTATCAATTTTTTCTATATTAATGCTATATTCCGGTACTATAATATTATTACTTTTAACAACTATTTCCTCAACAAACGATCAGTTTATAAAATGAAATTTATCAGATATTATATATAAGATGGAATTAAGAATACTGTTAATACCTTTTGTACATCATGCTTATCTGGTTCAAACCATGATGTATCAGCATCAATATATTTTCGTTTCGGATTAATAGCAACATGATTTGGTGCTAAGGTTGTTACTTCCATTACCGGAATATGTACAAGTAGTAATAAAGTGATTAGTAAAAGTAACATTTTTCAAGGAAGAATTTATGGTTGCCAAATTTGTTTCCTCCTTTACTTATACTTCTTGATGGTATCCACTTGTTGTTTTGCTGACAATAAATGGAATTATAATGATGATAGTTGTATAATTAGCAGTAATTAATATAAATAAATGCCAATAGTACGTAGTGTTTCAGTAATAAATGGCAACAAATGGATTGGTGGGTGCTACTGCAGGATGACGCATAGATTGGTTGGTATGGTTGGTCAATCGGTTAGATGGATGGCTGGATGGATCAATGGATGGATGATAAATGTACGGTTGTCGTCATTAAAGCATTCTTGGGAAATCGATTCGACACCACAATGGATCATGAAGGCGTCTTGAATTATGATTTAGACCGGTTCTAATACTATTTGATATACCCCGCGGGTTTCATCTTCCTTTTTCGTTTCCACTGCAATATCATCTCATCAAAGAAACAAATTCATATCATGGTTCAATCAAAATATTTCAATAACCGGTAATGTACTTGAATCAACGCCATTTATCCGGTTTCCGTCATTGCATTGTTATCAGTTAACTGATCATCTTTTGAAGGCTTTAAATGTCATTAAAATGATTATATCTATATATGTAAGCAATGGACATTATAGTATTAATGAAAAGCATACAGATGGCATGATAAGTTGAGTGTAAAGATAGCTAAGAAAAATGCTAAGAAAAGCTAAGAAAAACAGGAAAAGATAGCTAAGATTTTTGGTTATGTGATCGTAACAAAAACAATGTATTATAATATATATATATATATATATATATATCATCATATGTGATATTATACACTTCAATATATTCAAATTTCTTCCACTGCATATTTTGTCAATTTTATAAGATTGCTTTTTTCCTTTCATTTCTCAGCAATAAATGAAAAAACAAAGTGTTGAGAGATATTTTTATATTCTTAAAATGTAACTTATTTTGAGGCCTTCCTTTAATTAATTCAATTAACGAAAGACTATTGTTTTTGCTTATTTATTTTGAAACAAAGAAATATTTTCATCTTTGATTTAGACAATAGAAAAAGTATTTCCCAATCGATGTTTCACTCTTTGATATTAAAGTTGTTTTTTTTTCTTTTCCACTACTATTTTTCTTTTCTTTCCTTTTAATTAAATAAAAGTTGTCATTGTTGTTTATTTCCAGTTTTGCTTCATTCCTTTTTCTCTTTTTCTAATTCAATAATTAAATGTTATTATTGTAAAACATAAAACAATTAGAAGAACAAAAGCAGTTTTGTTCATTTGCTCAGCCTTAATTACTACTCATTCTCATTTCTTATCTTATCGTTAACATACTATATTCTCCCAAAATTACTTGTAATTCTTAATAAAAGCATGGAAAATTAATTATTCAAATCAACTCAAGAAATTTTTGAAAATTTAAAATTCCTTACAATGCAGCAATGACTTAATTTTAATGACTTAACTTAATTTTAACATTTCTCAAAATGGGAGGGAGTATTTCATCATTAATTTGTTACTTAATCTAATCACACTCAGATGAAACTACAACGATAAATGATGAAAGAATTTTTGTATTACAAGTCAAACTCATTCGCTCAATTATACTTCAAATTATGTATCACATTTCGAATACAATTTTTGGTGACATTAACTTAAATAAAAGTTTATTTGTTTTAAATTTGCTAATAATTTATTCAATCATTGTTAAACAGACACGTTTGATTATGCATTTTACTATCTTTAACTTATATCCATTAATAGAATGAATTGTATTAATTGTCTTAAAATAAATTCAGTTATTCATTTATTAATTTGCATAATTTTTTGCTATATTCTTCATAAAACAAGTCAACCATACATGTGATCATTTCTATATCCATATTAATCGTTATTGCTCCTCCACAAGCTCTAGTTATCATCAGTTTCGTTATTTAATCATTAACATTACCATTGCTTCTAATTTTCTTCATCAGTAAGTTTTTTTTTTAATAGCGAAGTTTATACTATCGATTGGTATCGGATGAAGTAGTTTTAATTAATTAATCAGATCAAAATATGTGATATCAAATAAGATGGCTGTATAAGAATGGCACTAATTACTATAATGATTAATGATATCACAATTTGTTATAAGATATTGTAATAAAATCAACGTACCCAATTGATAGAAGGATGAAATTATTAACCACTGATTGTTAATTCTCAGAAGATATGAAACAGAATCTATGACGATTAATATTTAAAGATCTTTATAATCGTCGGTTGTACTGCAATGATAGATGCTTCACTAATAATAGAATTACATGAAACATTTAATAATTGGACGAACGAACAGTTTATTAGTTGGAATGTTATAACATTTTGGCCTTTTCTTATAAATGTTTTCATTATTTATATAATAATAGTAATCAAATATTTTGTTAAAAATTGCATAGAATATTGAGAAGAATGGAAATGATAAACGAAAGATATCAAATGATTCAAATAATTGAATATATAATGGAAAGAATTAATGAAACAAATAATAGGAAAGGAAAAAGATCTTTGGAATGAAAACACAAAAAAGACCTTCGGCTACTAATTATATCAATTATAAAGAGTAATAATTATGTATATATAAAATTAGGTGATATCGTAACTGATACATTTATCTTTATAAGAATATATATATATATATATACATTCGAGCTTTAGCAAACTTTAATTCAACTAAAAAATAAGAGTGGAATAACGTAAGAAAATCATTAATGAATACAATATGATTAAAGATATGCATGCATGATAATTATATCCGAATTTTAATAAGCATAAATTTAATTGAAAATTAAAATGCAAGTAACATAAGAAAATTAAGAAGTCTTATTTCAGATAATAAGTAATAATATAATAATTGAAATAATTTATATTAAGCATTGAATTTGTGGTAAATTTTGAAGTTTTCATTTTTCTATTTCTTCTTTTATTTTTCCTTTCTTTACTTTAATTAATGAATCGATCATTGTTTCATTTTCTTTTTTTAAAACATTGTGTTCTTTTTTCACAATGAAAAATTACACAAACAAACAAAATTTACAATGAATTTTAATTATAATAATAAAATGAGCAAAGAAGGAAAAGCCAAAAACAATAAGAGATGATATATTATAAAATTGGAGATTCTTATTTAACATATGCTCATAATAGTTCATTGAACATAGAAGAAAGAAAAGATCATAATACATATTCTTTAATATGAAATTTAAATCCTCATATCGAATTTGAGTCAATTAAATGGATGCAAAAAACAATGAGGAATTTAGAATGAATAAACAAATAAACAGAAAAGCGAAAAAATTGCGTAATGAAATTATGTTTTATTCACTAACATTTATCAATTTCTTTTTTGCCATAAATTATTCTCTTCCAATAGTTATCATTGTATTATTAACAGTAAATGATAAAATATTGAATAGTCAAATTTGATTTAAGTTTAAATTTTAAGCAAAATTTAGGCGTTTTCATCACTTACATCACACTTATATTAATTTATTGTTACAATAACATAAATACTTGTTGAAAAAAAAGTGAAACTTTCTCCTTTTCTACGTCACCGCCATCGATACTTTCTAATCGGCAACCATTTCTTCTTTGTCATCCATTGGTCACATGGCTTCACATTTCGTCCATCAATTGCATTTGCCATTAGATCCATTTTTACACCGTTGAATGTTATATCGCCAATACAACCAACAAAGTTTTCTTCATGTAAACCACCGGTCATACTATCCAAATCCGGCACACCACCTAAAATGGGTCAATTTTTCCGTTTCTTTCCTTTTTTATTTTTATTTTTTCCGTATTAACGACTCTTTTTCTGTTTGATTTTCTTAATGAAATGAACAATCATATGATTGATTAATCGTCTTTTTTCACCACAAATTTATCATTTCTTTCCTGTAAAAAAATAATTAAAATTATTTTCAAACTAAGACTATAAGATTTATTAAATACTAAAATAAGTACAGAAATTTCGAATATAACTTCAACAATTTTGGTTAAAAATGCAGGAAAATATTTGATAATAGCTGCCACCGATAAATATTTCCTAAATTACCCAGGAAAAAGTGTATTAATAAGTAAGAACAAAACTCACTTAAATTAACACTCATTAATTATTTCATTTCTTCTCTCAGCACACTTTTCCCTCATCTTTCTATAGTTATCATTTCTTTCTTATACTTTATCATATTCTTTTTCGCGTACATAATATCAATTAATTCCTATGATCATAATTCATTTCCAATATTTTCCATATCTTTTCTGTGCTTCAAAAACTATTATTAATTATTTCTTGTAATTTTCTACGCTTAACCTAATTCATTTTGAAATGAATAACAAAAAGCTCAACTTTAAAAAGGTTAATCTTTCAAAATTTGCTTCTTACATAAATCTAACCGATATAAACATCTCCATCTGCATTAAGCATAGCAACAATGCCAAATGATGAGCCTATAACTGGTGCTCCCTCATCGATGGTCATTTTTCCATCGCGACCTTTTCGCCAAATTCGTAATTGATGCTCATTATCATCATTTACTACTTCAGTACTGATCAACTGTGATGCACCACCACCAAGTTCGTATCTTCAATTAACATACAAAAGAAGTCAATAATAACTGGAAATGAGATAATAAAACTTTCTGTAATTCGAAAAATTTAAAGAAAAATAATATATTAAACTTACGAAAAAACCAAATGACCATCACTCAAGCCAATCGATATATAGTCATCTCCCTTTAAAGATGTACCAAATGGCTGACCTTGCCAAAATATTAACTGCAAATTTACTTTTTATATCACTTATTTATTGAAATTTAAAGCAATCAAAAAAACGAAAATCTAATCATAATATAATGCAGTAGTATTATGTTATCAATGTATATACTACAGAGATAAATAAATGATTGAAGCATATTTTGGATTAAAATGTAGTGACCTTATCTTCTCCTCTTCTCACTAATTTCACTGATCACTTGAAGCAAATGGTTAAGAGATTGTCTGCGAGTAGGATATTTATATAATGAAATATTTTCAATATAATATATACAAATTGTAACTATATGATATTGATTATCAAATAACTTTAAAAACTTCAAAACTTTTTATTCCTTCATTTCTTTTCAAATAAAATATAAATGATACCCCGGATGATGCGGATGTTTTGAATCGTAAACTTAAATTTTCCTCATGTTCCGAAGTTAAATGTGGAAAATCATCAATGGAAAATACGATAAATGCTTTACCATCAAATTTTGCTGCATGCTCAATTGGCTTAACTGTAAACAGTTCACTTTTATTTCTTCGTTTTCTTTTCATTTAATTATAAATTATTGAAAATTTTATCCAACTAGCTTTTTTAACAGAAAAAATTTGAAAACGTCTCAATAAATATAGAAAATAACTGATTTGACGATATATATAAATAATAATATAATATATTTATTTCATTTAAAATCGGACATAATTTAAATTTCAATTTTAAAACTAACAAATTTCACAATTTGGACCATCATAATAGTCACGACATGAGCATACAATATGAGTTCCATTGATTATTTCACAATCGCCATGATCACCACATATATCTGGTGTACATTGCGCCATACAATCTGATAAGATAATGATAATAATAACAAGGTTATTGAACTATGCAATCTTATAATTATCATTAATAATGATAATAATAATAATAACAATAAATTATAATTATGCAAATTTTTATCATTTACATATATAAAGAATTACACTAAGCATGCATGATTTATATAAATTCTGATATGTTCTATTTTTCATCTTTTCTTTTTATTTTTTTGTTTTCATGAACTAAAATTACTGTTATTATTATGATTGATCGATAAAATTTGAATAAAATATTGGAAACGAATAATGAAAAAAAGAAATTGTTACTTTCACCGGTGCAAGGTATTGCTTTTGTACGTTCTTCCGGATGTAATGTCGTCATATCCTTGGTTTCAACTTCATACTTTTCTGTTGATTTAATTCGTGAATATTTTGACGTCGTAATATGAATTGTTGTACGTTTCGTTGGTATCGGCGTAGTCCAAATGAATGGTATATGAATGTCTTCGTCTTCTTCAATCGTATACGGTTTACAAACCGTTACATCACGTGATGATTTTTTTAATATTTCAGCCAAATTTATATCCTTTCCGTTTAGAATGATCTTTAACAAAATAAATGAATTTGATAAAATTATTTAAAGTAATATCATATAAAACTCTTCAGAACCTTAAATGATACAAATATGATTCAAATAATAAGATTGTACGCTAAATTTTTCCTTTCGATCATATGCAATAATATATCGCTACAAAAAGTTAAACAAACTTGAGAAAGTGGAACCGGAGAGTCGGACTTGAAAAAATTCAAGTTAAATCATAAACATAATGGTACCTTCGAAATGCATCCCTTAAATGAGGCAGCACCACCAATTCTTGGATTTACCATAATACCCGAAGGTATACCACCAATAAATAAATTGGTTCCTGGTAAAAATGTTGAAAGTTTGCCACGAGTTGGAATTTTCGTACCGTTTATCCGTACTTCAGCTCGATTACCAAATCGTTTCAGATCAAGATGATATGGTATATTTGTTTTCACTTCATTTGGTGATTCAATTTCTATATTACCTGGAAATTATATCATTAAAGATTCAGTTTTTTTCTCTTTATTGTATTTTCACAGAAATTTACTCGTTAAAAAGAAACGTTGAAAATCCGATTTAACTGATCGTCCAAGAGAAAAGAAAAAAACATTAGAAGATTCAGAATGCCAAAAAATCTCTAACACTTATTAATTTGCTTATAGAAAATTTTTGTTCTTAAAATTTATAATGAAAACAAACAAACCATCTCCACTGCTATAAAAATAAACAAATTTTCCGCGACGTATTGCAAGCGCTAAATAATTGGATCGCTTTGGATTATAATCACTTGCTTGATATGATAATAACTGATCGTTTATTGCGCGTGGCTCGATTTCCATTTTTAGCTGAATTATCGCTTCTGCACAGATATAATTAAGGGATAATAATTAGCATAATGGTAAAATTTGCACCTAACTCGAACATATTATTAAAGAGAAGGAATTATATACTTAAGATTAATGTAAATTTATGCAAAAAAGAACTCAGTGTTACAGTCGAAATTGAAATTTTTCCAACTAATAGAGCTAATAGCCAATAATTACTATGCAAAAAGACTGATGGCTGAAATGATTCTAATTAATAAAAATACTGGTAATTGAAGTTTGATTGATAAGGTTTGTAATCATCGGCTAATTTAGATTGGCTAAATTATTATCAGTGCTGAAATATTATATGGGATTTCTGGAAGTAAGTCATTTTACGCTTTAGAATTAACTCTTCATGATCGTGCAATATTTGGATCAAATTCTTTGTGCAAAAAATTTTGCGTTCATGAAGATTTTAATTTATTTAAAGCTTATCATTTCATTTACAACTTTAGAGATAAATAAATTTTAACAAATTTAATATTTATTAATATCTGAGAAATAGTGCTTTGGTAATAAAGAATAAAGGCAAACACTGAAATTGCGAAGTGTTTTTGATTTCGGTAATACGATGTACGAAGTTTTGCCATTGAATTGAATAGACTCAACAACATCTTCACTTTCCAATAGCTGACATCGGTCACCGTACCGTCCAACTGGACAACGACAAAATTGCGTACCATCTGACCGATACTCACATGTTCCAGCTCCACAAGTAACTTTAAAATAACTTTTGGAATTTTCATTTGAATCCTTATGCAAGAAAAAATTCACTAATATGATAAGTAAAACTTTTACTTAGTTTACAACTAAATATTTATAATTCAACTTTCAGCCAGAAATGATGCTTTAACAATTATCTTAAAATTAAATTTATCTTTTGAAAAAACAAACAATAACTGTTTATCGGTAAAATCATCTTTTCATCCAAAATATTATAATTATAGTAATTAGATAGCTAATTAAACAACAAGTAGTTCTTCATATCTTATATAAAACTGAAGCAATATATTCTATCATTGTATTTCCTCAACATTGATGCAATTATTGTGGAAATAAGAAGATAACTAACTTCTCCAAATTTGATTTTAAAAAAGATGTTCGACAAATTAAATATTCTACAATAAAGTTTATTCGATAACAAGTAATTAAATCCTTCCAAAATTAAATACCGAAAGAATAAAAAAGAAGTACCATCACTGCATTTTAGAATTTTGCGTTCGCAGAATTCACCTTCATACCCTTTCGCATTTGAGCAATCGCATATGAAACCATTGCGGACATTCGTCGGTATGCAAACGGAATTGTGCTGACACAATCCTAATGAACATGCCGTATCTTTTTGTATATTTGGTGATTTCGTTATAGTATTTTCACCAAAATCGATCATTTCATCGGATATTGTTAATGAAGTAATTGTTCCTTAATGGCAGATAATATAATGCATTTTATGAATTGGCAAACTTTTTCTGCTAATTAGTAATGTTTAATAAAAAATGAATATGAAAATATATTCTGCAAAATTATGTTGGATTTTAAAGGAATTAGGAAATGATAAATTTAATATGAGTTAAAAAAGAAAAACAATACCGACAAATGGTTGCTCAAAAGTAGTACGTTCCAATTTTGCTTTATCTTTAGTACCAGCAACATTTAAAATATTTGATATACCTTCACCGGTATTAAAATAATAATTATCCTGTTCAATGGCGTCATCTTCATCAACTAGTAACGTAGCTGTAATAAAAGATTTTTCATTTTAAATATTAATTTTGAATTTAAAATTAAAAATGATCGGAATGTGGATAGGCGTTAGTTAATTAAGAATGATGATTATGAATAACAAAGAGAAAAGAAGTTGAAAGAAAAATAAAAAAGAACGAATTGATAAGCAAACCATGACTTGGTTGATTGATAATTTCAATTTTATGCCATTCATCCATCACTATTGGGTATGTGCTTATTAACTCAGCTAAAGGTAAGTAATGTAAATGCAATCGTTTATTTTTAAAAACAACAAATTACAAAAACAATAAAAATAACATTATGGATAAATAATAAACTATTGCATTTTAAAAATTTAATTTGCAAGAAGTTTGATCAGTTTTTTTCTTACTTTTGCAAAATGGTACTTAGTTAAATGGTAAAATAAACAAACAAAAGGGATAGCGAATAGTTCGATACCTAATGCTAATCATCAGTATTAAACTTATTAATTAACTGATGATTTTGATTTCTATCTAATGATTTGGGAGAAGGATAAAAAACCGACAAATTAATGTCTACTACGTAGAGTTGTCTCCTGTATAACAATGGTTAAGAGATAATGAATAAAACATGGACAATATTTTCTTATTGATTATCTCTGAGGCTTTTTCTAGAAACTAATCTAACAAATACGACATTTTCCGAATGACAATAAACAACAAACCTGGTCCAGCACCGATATTGTACCGGTAAATTACATGGCCATTTTTTAATCCAATACTCAAATAATTGATTATTTCATCCGGATTATTTTCATCTTGTCGTTCTGTATATATCAACAAACCTGAAAAAGAATTTCATAGTTTTTGAAATAAGTAAAATTTGACTTCAAAATTTAAACATAAAAGCATTTTCAATACAACATTTATAGCAGTAATATATAATCACATATTATTGAATTTTCATCCCCTATAAATAACTTTTTTAAAAACAAATCATGAATTCTGATTTGGATTACATTCTTTGTGCGTATCTAGATTATATTCTAGATAGAAATGATATCAGTAGGAACTACACAATTATAGTAGCTTCATTACTTTCCAGAAAATATAACCATATTCATTTACTTACCATTAGGTAATTTTGGTTTGAATGAAATTTTCAGATTAATATCATTCCATTGTTCATCGGTTAATGGTTTCAGTTCCATGTAATCGTTTCCACCAAACATTGGCACAAAATCTATCCGACAAAAATTTACTCTTACAGTTAAGGAGAAAAATTCGAAATTACTTTTATTTTGCTAATTTTTCTTTCCTTGGCATTTATTTGCAATTCTTACACTTTTTAGTGAATACTACTAGAAAAGTACGATATAAGAAAATACCGGAGACTTTCAAATGAACGTGTGTAACAGTTGCCAAACCGGAATCAGTTCGTATTATGCATCTATAAACTCCTTCATCCGTTCGTTTAACATCCTTTAAATACAGAATATCTTGGCGAATTGAATAAGCATATGGTAATTCTCCGTTAACTTTTTCCCACTTCACTTCACCATATATACCGGGTGCACCAGTAGCAGGACATCGCAATTCAATCTATAAACACTTTTTTGTAGCCTTTGAAACAAGCCTCTGAAAAATATCGTTTTAGCGGTTTAATGATTTTTTTTTTATTTTAAATGAAAATCAATAAACCGTTAAAAACGATATCTTGTATCGCATTTCCGTACATAAGCTATAGAAATAATAGGAATGCATTAATTAATTCTTTCACTTAGTTTACTTCTTTTAGCTCCCGGAAATATGTTTCCTATTACTGTGGACCAGCTAAACTATTTCAGCCTTACGATGGGGATAGTTGTGAAAAATATATTTAAAATCCCAAAGTATTTATCCAGCAGAACTGAATCAATTAATTAATTAATTAATTAATTAATATCAGTTTGCTGATATGTTTTAGCGCATTTTGTTGATCTTAAATCAAATTTAAAAGCAAAGTTATTGGTTACTAAGTTTTCAAGCCAATATAATCCTTCGAAACCAACCATAATTACATAACTCTATTATTATATTAGTCTATTAGTTAATCATTATACTTCAGGAATTTGAATAAAGCCATGGAAAACTTGATGATTGCACGGGTTTCTTCTGCTATTTGGACTTTAAAGTATAATATATTTATGAAGTTAGGTATGATTTTATGACACTAATTAATAGTTGACAGATGACCTGCAATAATCACACATACCTCTTCGCCAACTGCTCCAATGATAACCGGAACGCTCTCTCTAACTCGTTGAATACTTTTGCTTGGTATGTCATCTAAATTTGCATCTTATTTAGTATTTAAGAAATAATTGAGATTTTTTCAATTATCTCAATCATTTTAGGAAAAAAGTTGATTTTAAACTATTTTTGTCTAAACCTAAAAAAATAACTTAAGAAAACTGAAATTTTAAATTTACTTTATTGAAATTCAATAAATTAAAATTTATTATTCTAGCTTTTTGCACAAAAGCTAATGGGTGCTAATACTCCTAACCAGATATAGGATATACATGAGGATATCGTTTCATAGCCATTCCATGGTTATCCTACTGAAATCTCACCTCCAATCAATCTACACTTTACCAATTACCGATCATGTCCATGTACCAACGAAAACAGTAAAGTACCCAAAGCTTCAAGCAAGCAATAAAAGAAAAGGAACGCAGTCCAAATATTGAGTAGCTTAAATTAGGCCAATTGAAATTATTCTGATTGTTTGGCTTAATCAAATGGATGGATGATTCATTCTCTGCACGGTGACTAATAATCGACTCACTTTTTGTGGCGTATATACGACCACATCCAAAGATATGTAAACTTATAACTTTCTTTTTTACAATAACTGGAAAAAAAAGCTTTGATCTTTCTGCAAAGCGCAAAATATCCAACATGTCATGTAATACGCAAATCCCAGTGACCCCAAAGCACTATCTCAAAATTATATTAGTATCGCAATTTCTATACAGAAACATATTTATTCTATGCACATAGGTGTGTGTGTGTGTGTGTGTGTGTATAGATGGTTGTGTTTGGATTTAAAAAATATCGTTTTTTGATATGAATCATGCACCAAGCTTATAATAATTGTGATATCGACGAATGTTCGGTAACGATGACAACAATTACAGCAGTGATAGCAATAGTGCTAGTAGTAGTTGTTGTAGTAGTAGCAATTGCTGTTGTAGTGGTGGTAGTAGTACTAGTAGCAAGAACAAGAACAGCAATAACAACGACACCATCATCACCAACACCATCACCATTATCGTCAACGGTAACAGCAACAAAAATAACAACAACAATAGCAACACCGACAATAACAATAAATTTTATTAATTTAATATTTTTATGTAATAAGAAGAAAAGAGTTGCCAGTTACACAAATAAAGAAAAAATGTAGAAGTAGTGTAGGAGAGTAGAAATTGAAAAAGATAATAAGAAAGATTCCGTCTTTCTTTTTACTTTCTAAAAATAATAAAGGGAAAAGGAATTGACAACAGACATTACTTAATTATTTTATCATAATAATGTAATGATGATAACTATAATGAATGATGAAGATGATGAAAATGAATTGAAAGAATCAATAAAACCAATTTCCAATTAATTTAATTGCATAGCATCAATAATGATAACTTTATATATTGCCAGGGACATAGTAAATGAAGGGAAATGAAAATGAAATATGGAGAAAGGAATAATAATAAATGAGAAGAGAAAGCAAATTTTATGATTTATTTTTTTCCTCCCAGAATATTCCAATTTTAGAAAATTTTAAATTTTCAGAAGCAAAAACGAAGAATTAAAATTTAAAATAAATAATAAGGCAGTCAGTCAGTTAGTTATTTATTTGTATGCTTAGGCTTGTTTATGAAAGATTTTCATGTAATAAAAGCTTTAATTAATTTCAAATAATTTGCTGCTCAGTGATAAAGTTTTGAAATCGTTAACAAAGTACTAATTTCATACTACTCGATTTGCACTTAACTCATAACTTTCAATTAAATTACACAAACTCATCTATTCATAACTGAAATACGAGCAGATATTATTTGAATGGCTGCTAATAGCAAAAAATGAAAGAACAATAGATTAAATGAATTAAAAAGAAGGAGTAAATTGGATGAAATATGGCGATTTCTATTGAGTATTTAAATAAGAAAAGAAGAGATGATAATGGCAGTGTTGAAATGGATTGAGAAATAAGACAAAAGCAAAATGCTTAAAAATAATTCTACTCATTATTAGTATCAGAAATGAATAATTTAAAATATCCATTTCATTGAATGATTAATTTGCTGGCATAAAGACAAACAAAAAAGGTGCAATGAAGCAATCTTTTCATGATAGTGATAAAAGTAATCGATCGGTTAATGCAAAAAGAAGAAGTTATAAAGAGAAAAGCCTAAAATAGGAAAGGCACAATCACCGAAAGAATATCACTTAAACACTCAAATGACTGAGAGAGAGAGAGAGAGAGAGAATGATAAGAAATGAAACAATTCCTAATGATTTGAAATTAACATAAACGATATAAAGAAGAGAAAGAAAAAGCATTTAATTAAATTAAAAAAATTCCGAAATTTCAGTTACTTCAAATAAGAGAATTTATGAAATAAAAATTCGAAAATATTCATATTTTTGATGAATTTTATTGGATAAGAAACTTATTCCTTCTGCATTTTTCCTTTTTTGGCAGGACAATAAGGCGGCAGCACAGTAAATAACAACTACAGCAGTATTATTAGTGTAATTAGCTCTAGTAATAGCGGTAGTAATAGCAACAATAATAATTTTAATTATCATAATGATAAGAATGGGTGGTGATAGTAGTAATAGTACTAGAGCAGAATAATTTAAACCGTGTCTTTTCTTGCTTTTTTCTTCAAAAATTAATGTTCGAACAATTTTATGCATATTTGTGAACTTTTTTAAACTTTATATGAATTGTAGAGAGCTTTTGTTTAACTAGACGTAAACCAGGTGCCAAAAATGGAACTACGCTTCGTTTTCTTATCATTATTTCCAGCCTCCTTATGGGCCCGTTTTTCTTTTTTACGTGAAATACGCTTTCGCTTGCGTTTTGCTGTTCCAACATTGAGCACATTTCGTGTTTCCAATGGTCCAGCCTTCGTTTTCGCATGACATTTATAGATACCACCGTTATCTTCACGAACGTTTACAAACAATAAACGATTACCAATAACCTAAAAATGTTTCATTTTTCTTTTTAAAATAAATTTTATTCATAAACTTCAAATAAATTCTTTCTCATGGCTTTTTACAAAACTGTTCTCATCATTTTATCTCCTTCATATTTTTTTTGCTAAACGTAGAACTTAAATATTAGCATTATATGATCCATTCCTATCACATAGTAAATCGCATATCAATTCATTAAGGCTATTCTTAATACGAATGAAAGGCATTTCTACAAGTTTCAGATATTTATTGGATAAATTATAAGAATACTATCACAACACTATACTTTCTTTCTCTACTTAAACAACAGATATGTGATGTCAAAACTTCAACAACAGAAAAGCATATGATATCGAAGTGTTAATGAAAGTGAAAAACTCACAACTTAAATTCTATTCGAAATTAAGAAATTCATTCGATTAAAGCGAAAGGAAGTTCCAAAATGATTTCAACAAAATTCAACAGCAAAATTTTATTGATCAAAGGACTGAAAAATGCTTTGTACGAATTTATTATAATATAAAAATAAATTGAAACCTGTGTATTGTCAGGCAGTTCATCATCACCCTCTTTTGTCCAAGTTATTTCAGCATCCGGATCACCTGTTACTTTACAATCGAGCCATGCTCGATCACCCAGTGATATGCTTTCCGATGATGGCTCCAGCAATACTTGTATTATTGTATCCGGAACTTAAAAATTATGAAAATAATTCAAAATAATTGATTTATCATCCTTTCTCAACCGTGCCAATTTTTTGGAATTAACTTATCTAAAATTAATCATGCACCAACCGTATATTTCTGCTTTGACGTAGCCTTCAACCTGTTTGCCATGTATATCAACTTTACAAACATACATTCCTACAGCATCATCGTCAAATTCGTTGATTCTGAAGTAAGAACCATAGGATTGATCGAATCACAAGTTTCGTAAAATAAAACTTTAAAAATAAAAATTAAAAAACTCCGAAATTATTTACATTCATGTATAATTGCCAAAATTTTCGTGCTACTAATGAAAAAAGCTTACATCAGCTTATTACCGATTATTTTTGCACCAGTTGGTAGTTCACCATCTTCTTTTTCCCACGTGACATTTGCGCCCGGTATGGCATAAACTGGGCATTCAATTGTTGCAGCTGATTTCTCGTCAAATTTCAAAATTCGTGCATCTAAAATCATTGATAATTATGAATTGCGCTAAAAAAATGGTCATAACAGCTTCCAATCGGATAATTTTTTAGTTATTATTTCTTTCTAATGAAAATAATGATGAAGTTAAAAATGAAGATTCTAAAAAAAAGATGCGAAAAGATTCGGATAATATTCTTTGCTCTTTCAAGATGTGCTTCTGAAAAGATTTCATCAGTCATCAACACCATTCTCTTAATTATTTTTCCATTTAACAACAAAGTCTTCTATATTAAGTAGCAAGATTCAGATTATGCATTCAATTCTCACGAATTACCTCAATTGCATGATTAATTCATCTTAATTTTGTCTAGGAAGTGAGTTAAATAATTCGACGATTATAGTAATGAATTGATCGTTAAATCTTTAACTACTGATAGCATGATGAATGGATGAGATTATAGGCTTATTCTGACAGTTGACAAGATAAGATGATAGTCATAATGTGCGGCATGCTGTACCGGCTAACTGGATGATATAGTAGCAATTCGGATAATATTCCTGTCTAACTAACTAGCGATTTATCATATAGTTTGAAAGTAAAATATTTTCTCAACAGACTGGAAGGATCGGTAAATCCAATGATAACAGCTGTGTATGCTTGTCCGATCAACTCTCCGTCATCATCTTCCACTTCACATCTATACACTCCGTAATCATTCGATGGATCAGCTTTTTTAATTACCAGTGTACTGTCATCCGAGTATTGCCGGATGATATTGCCACCACGAAGCAATGCCCATTCGAAGTTGACACCACTGTTACCACCTCCTGAATCTAACACTCCTCTCAAAACATCCGTTCCAATTTGACTTCTTTCATGATGATTTTTCACGATTCTTGAGATTTTCTATTTTTTCGGGAAAGTTTTGTATATGTCCTAATTTTGTCAACTATTATTTTAACAGTATTTTAAATGTGTGGTTAGTAACACCAGGGACGAAACACAAACGACGACGACGACAATAATGATAATGATGAAGAAGATATCACCAATCTCGAGTTACATCACATAAAGCAATACTAACAAAAAAACTTTGGAACTATTTCACCGAAAACAATATTCGAAGACACCATTTCATAAAAAATTTCTACGAAGATACTTGCTAGTAAAACAACAACAGATTTCTGGTTAGGTTATCTTAGCCTGATGTTATTTTCCAAAAATGGTGCATGTGAAATGCAAAATAAATGTCCAAAGCAACGAGATCTCTACTAACAATAACACAACAAGTTTTCTTTCCAAACCAATGATAATGTTATGGTAATAAACGAATAAAATAAAAAAATGATAATTCAGTTAAGTGTAAAAACACCATAAAAATAAAGAAGTAAAACAAAAGACATGACCGGTGATTGTGTTATGGACAAGAAGATAAATCGGTTTACTGCGAACACTTTCACCGGATGTACTCTCGTAATGTACCCAGTAAATGCCTTGTGCATTGAAATCAACTTCATTCAGGTACAATATTTTATCATGACTTAGAATGATTGGTGCTTGATTTAAATTGTCATTGCCAACCGAATGATACCAAGTAAGAAGATATGGAATGGTTGTTTCTGCAAAATATTATAAGCAAAAAGTAAACATATAATTAAAGCACTGATGCTGTACTCGTTACATTATTAGTAAGCATTTAATTTCCCAAAATATTTACTACGATAAAATAGGGAGTAAATTTTAAGATCTGTTTATTTCATTTGAAATTTATTATTTCACAAAAATTTGCAAAACTAATTAAATCGTTGATTACTTCAAACTTATTTTTGTTAGATGAATATGTGAACAATTTTGAGTACATCATCATAGAATTAATTAGACTATGTAATTGATAAAACCGAAGTTCCTAATTTTTTTCTAAAATTCAAACTTTTTAGCAAAATTATTTAAATCATCTAGTGTGATAATCTCCTATATTAGTGGAGTGCAGGAGCAAAAGTATGTAGAAAGCATGCAAGAGAATGATATGTATATATGCTCACTTATCATCTTAACTAAGAATTTTTTTCTACAAATAATTCCCAAATTATGTTTTGCAATTGTAAAATTTGTTGGCTCTTATAATTTTGATATCATTGTTAATTTTTCATTTAGTTGCATATATTAGTATAATTAATAAGATCTGAACAAGCACCATATATGAGTTAAATTATTTAGCGTTAATGTTAATTTTTTGACATCTTCGCACAAATAAAATACTGATAAAATACAAAATAAATATGGAATACTTTCTTTAGAAAATGTTACTTCGTGTCATTCAATTTCTTTTAGTTCTCTTTTTAAACTGTCAAAACGCTTTTGAAATCTTTCAACATAGTAATATATTAAAAGTAAATATATGAAATTTCTACAAAATGTCAAAAAACTTGCCTTCAACTGTACACGTAAGCTTTATAGATTCACCCTGATCAATAACACGAATAATGGGAGAATCAATTTCTACTCGTGCTATATCTAACGGCGTTAAATTGGCAGCATGTATTGTAACGCGATTACTTCCCACTAATTCATCATGACGATATCCACGACATTCATATTCACCACTATCTGATTTCTATAATAAATGAAAGAAATATTAATAAATTAATTTGTATCTCATGAAATGATAGATAAATAATGATTAAATCTTGCAACAGATTATAGTCATAATATTTCTGAGAAAGAGATTGATATTTATTAATTAATTATGATCAATTGTTTATTACTAAATGTATTCAAAGAGTTTTGATAAATGATAAATGTGACTAAAAAGAAGAATCAAATGGTATAATTTAATGACTAATATTGACAAATAAATTTTTCAACGGTATTGTTATTCACAAATTTCTGCTCAAATAAATTTATCCAATTTACAGATGGATTAAATATTTAAGCAATTAATATTTAAAAAAAGCATTGGTCAATTTAATTAATTCATCATTTTTGTTGTTTTAATTAATAAATTAACAATAAATCGATTACAACATTTATTAAAAAAAGCAAAAAAAAATGAAAGTTACTTTACACTTTTGTTTATAATAAGAAAAACGAATATATAAAATACTCCTAAATATTTTCATTCAAGTCAAGAAATGAATAGTTTATCTTATATGTTGAACAAATATCTTACCTTAAATTTAGAAATGTGTAAAATCCCAAGTTCCGTTTCTTTCATATTGTCCGGTAATGCACTATCAACTTTAACCCACTGGATACGATCAACAATTTCACTGCCCGTTGCAGCGCATATCAAATCAGCTGGCTTACCAGGCTCAAACCACTGCATTGAACCACCAAGGATTGAAACTGTTGCTACTTTTGATGGTTCCACAACTGAAACATTGGGCAATGGAATATCGCTTATATGTTATTATTACCTCTAAATAAAATTCAAAAAAAATTCTTCTCTAACTTGGAAATAATTTTCAAAAATTGATATGAATCTAAAGAAAGAAAGAACGGTGAGTTTTAATAATAATAAGTACAATTAATAATAATGCATTAATGCCTGAAAGATAATATTTCCTGAAACCCTCTTGCCTATAACTTACGCAGATTTTCTGATATTTTATGCAGTGCATGCGATACACGTAAATATTGTTTATCTTCTATTTATTCAAGGTACATATTATATATGGAAATTGAAAACATGCACAAATATTATTCCTCACTAAGTTTGTTCATTTTAAGTTCGCTAAACTTCGCATACCTTCAATATAAATATCCTTCTTAGCTGAAGCCTGAATATTGCTACCTCTGCATGTGTATACACCAGCATTACCAAGTCCAATACTTGGATGCCGAATGAATTGTTCCGAAATTGTGACAGGTTTGAAATCATCTGGTAGATCACCCCGTTCTGGTCCCGGATCACTGCAAAATGGAGCATCCGTAGATTAAAAAAGAAATCTAAATTTATTAGGAAAAAGTGAAGATTTCGACAAAAGGAACACACGTTTTATTTTATCTCTTTTCTTTATGTAAATGATGATGACAAGAAACTGTAGGATAAAAGTAAACTTTCGTTAAATAAATTTATGAAATTTCCTTACTGTAACCATTCCACTTCCGGTTCCGGCTCACCGAATGCTTCACATTTAATCTCCAGTGGCTCGCCAGCAGTTAGAACTATTCGTGGTCCAGGTGGACTAGTACGTACGATAAGCGAAGGTCCAATATTCACGGATCCATGATCGCTAGCCTCACCAACAATATTAGTTGCCGTACATGTATAATCACCATTCATATCAGCCCGAGCATTTTGAAAATCCAAGAAACCGCTACCAACGTCAGTAACATCTTCAGGTAACGTTTCACCACTTGGTCCAGTCCAACTTATAGTTGGCTCTGGAGAACCGGTAACAATGCATTGGAACTGATGTTTATCACCGGGTTGTCCATTCCAAACACGTGGTACAACACGTGCTGTTGGAGGTTCTTCTTCTAAAAAAAACCGTCTTTATCGATTAATTTGTTTACAACTGCCACTTAAAATATTTTATTCATTTATTTTTCATCCTTATTTTACATCCAAGCATTTAACTAGCCAAAATTATCTCAATTAAGCAAATTAATTATTACATAGAACTAAATAAACAATGATTCAAGTTATCTAACATTCTATCTGATAACTTCAACATGAAGAAGCAAAATCTAAACAAAGTATATGAAAAAACATAATTAGAAATTATATTATCATTGGAAACGGGAAACAAGATAAACCCATTTTGATTAAAGTTATGAAAATTTAGATTCAATTAAATGACATACTTTCAGTAACATGAAGCCGGACGGGTTCAGCTTCACTAGAACCATATTCATTAGTTGCAATACAGATGTATTCACCAGTATCTGAATTATCTGCCGAACGGATGATCAAATCATTATCGTCTTGTACTACATCACCTCGTAACGGACCATCAGGAGTTTCATATCCCCAGCGAACACTTGCCGGCGTATCGCTGTTTGGATCGCAATGGAATCGCGCTGTTTCACCAACTTTAACAACCTGATCGCTTGGTGTTGCAACCGGTCGCGGTGGCTTACCACCTGTAATCAAATTACAGATGAAATCCTGTCATTTCATGTAATATTCGCAACTAATATATTGCGGTTTTTAATTTATTTTATTTTCTAGTAAAAAGCATGCATAATGCTTTTTCAATTTCATAAATTGTTTAGTTTGAAAAATTAGTTTAAACAAAAGCGAATAGCACATGCCAAATTACTAGAAAATAAAATAAATAAAAATCGCAATAATATTAGTTGCGAATATTACATGAAATGAGCAAACCTGGAGCTATATTGACTTTATTCTTTTATTATTACTCACCCTTACAATATTAAATTCTAATTCCATCCTGATTATCGCTTTACTTGTCTTCTTCGGATAATCAATTCTCTTTTCTAATTTTGCGAAAGATAAGATATGAAAATTTCACGACAGCACTTCATACTTAACAATAAAATAAAAATGTTAAAAGTTTTGGAAAAAGGCATACGCTGTCTCACGTTAATACTTGCGGGAATGGAATCGACCGGTGCACCGCGAAAATCATCCATAGTACAGATATAACGTCCGGCATCCTCACTTTCCGTTTGCGGAATAAATAAAATTCCGTTATTTTCGGTTGCTTCAACTGGCAGTTCACCACTTTCTTTCCTCCATTTCAGCATAACATTCGGTTCACCGGGCACAAAGCAACGAATCTGTGATGGATCACCTTCTTCGACGGTTTGTTCCATTGGATCAACTGTTGGTATTCCTCGAGCTAATTCAGCTAAAACATGGAAGAGCAAGCTAATTATCGTATATTTATACTATTTATTTATTCAGAATTTACTCGAAATGTTGCAAATATTGAGGAATTACAAATTGTTTCCATTCTATTCATAACGCATTCTATTCATATGGCCATTTTCGAATATCGTAATGCATTAAATTTTCCTACAAATATATGACATATCCTAACATGAACAATCCAATTTGTCACTGCTTTTACATTCATACCTTAAAATCTATTCGTCCTTTTTTGGAACGTTTTGAATTGACAGAAGGATTAAGCTAGTTTTTATTGCAAATCTAAAGTTATGAAAGTTCACTAATGCAAGGCTTTTCATTACTCTTTTTCAATCTTAACTCATTTCCAATTTTTTTCTCTTTGCCTGTAATTTAAGCTAGCACAACTTTTATTCGATATTATCGTATATCCTGAAAATGCCTTTTTATGAATCTTAACGTTAGATATGAAGCAATACATTTAATAAAGCAAGTATATCTAAAACAGTCAACTATCACTTGAATCATTATCAAAATAAAAAGAAATTAATTAATTGATATATTGAAAAAATATTAGGTGTTATAGAGATGCAAATGAAAAATACCTATCGTTTTTTTGATGAGTATTTTTAATTTGAAATTTCTTGCAAAAAAGATGAAAATTACACCATGCAAAAAATTTTTCAAATTTGTGCAAAAATGAAACTCAATCTTTTTTAATTCAAACTAATTTTGCATGCAAATTCCATTTATCAGGTTGTGCAAAAAGAAAATCGTGAGAAACTTTGACACAAATTTCCGATGAACATATAACATTACTATTATCACTGCTGCAATTGTTAGAAAGTATCGGTACTTCAATCAAATTATTTCAAAACAAAAAAAAAGAAAACAAAGACGAAAATAATATGGAAAATTACATCTCATAATTTGCTTCCTTCGTTCGTGTGGTTTTACCTTTAATTCAACGGGGTTTGATTCCAGTGATAGATCACCAGTAGGGCTGATAGCTAAGCAAACATAGAAATCAGCATCTGATATGTGAGCCCTTAGATAGTACAATGTACCAGTACCATCATCGAATGCACTATTTGGTAACGATGTACCATCAGCTCTAGACCATTTCAAGCGTGCATTTCGATTAGATGGTACCCAGCATCGGAACATTGCCGGATCCCCTTCGTATACAATTTGATGTTCAGGATCAACCTGCGGTTTTTGGAAAATTTCCGACGGTTGAGTCGACAAATATTGAGTTGAAGCTTCGTAAACTTCAAAAAAAATAAAATAATAGTAATAATAATTTCGATGTACAATGAAACAGCAAGGTGCATCGATTAAAATGAATTTAAAGCAAAATAAAAAAATAAAGAAAATAAAGGTAGCAAATGTGAATGTTTTAGAAACACAGAAAAGATCTGAAAACCATGGTGAAACGTTAGCTGCGTGATCCAAACTACGTTTCATCAGCACGCGAAGTAAAATTTTTGCGTTAGTAGTTGCATTGAAAGTTAATTCAAATAAGTTTGAAATTTTTAATTTTTTTATGCTGAATTAATTAGGAAAACAAATTGATGACAGAAGTATTTTTGAGAAGATGCAGAATAGAGCGGCTTGCTAGCTAAAATATAGATGGAAACTATCGAACTTTAAATAAACATAATAAATTGTACATTCATGACCTTCTGAATTTACTTACGTCTTTCAACATCTAATCGAACTGGAGACGAATCAACCGGTGGTCCACCGTAGGCATCTTGTGCAGAACAAATATATTCACCGGCATCCGACATTTGGGCATGAGGTATAGATAAGATTCCCTCTCTGTCACTAATTCCATATCCTAAGGCACGACCATCAGCACGTCTCCAGTGAAGGATGGCCCTTGGATTACCAGGAACCCAACATCGGAACTGAGCTGGTTGATTCTCATTTACTGTTTGCTCCAATGGATCTACCAGTGGATTATTTGCTGCAGAAATGGAATGGTTAGATTACCGATATACATGAGCAAATAAAATAGTCCACAACTGTCAACATAAAGAACTGATCGCTTGATACTAGAAATACTTTAGAAACCTGATCCCTTATCTGCTGAGGGACTATAGTGATACTCTACCTCGTTACTTAATCAAGATTAAAAGTAAATGACATAAGAAGAGACGTGACCTGTAACTAATTTCTTTGATACTTGACAAAATATAAAAATAATTTCTCTCAATGTTATTTCTAAAATAGATGGATGAGTAAATTACCTGGTCCCACGATCAGTCTAGCTACAGGACTATCCATTGGTGGCTTGTACCCTGCTGGATCACTTGCAGTACAGATGTAACTTCCGGCATGCTGACGTTGCGCACTTGGAATATTCAAGATACCTTCATGTTGCTGTATACCATGCGGTAATGGACCGTTACCTTTCATTTTCCATGTTAAAATTGCCGTCGGATCACCAGGTACCCAGCAACGGAAACGTGCCGGTTCTCCTTCTGCAACTGTCTTTTCTTGCGGATCAATTCGTGGTCGCTGCGGTGCTGTAATAGTTCGTGTGTTTTTTTTTCTTTTTCTGTTTTAAGTCAATTGTTAATATAAGTAAAAAAGCTTACGATAGTTAAATAATCAAGAACTCAGCCAACAATAACAGCAGGAAAAAGAAGCTTCATGCAAATAAATTAAATTGTAAATTATTCCTCGTACTTATTGTATCACAATATTAACACTAATAATTTATGTTCTAAAATTTGGATTAAAAAATCAACTCGAAAAAGATTAGAATTGCTTAATTAAAAATAAAGATATGTACTCATCAACAGATATGCACTCATTCAAATCCATTTTACATGATAATAAAAAGAATGAAATTTTGATATTGATCCATTTGATAATAATTGCATTTCTTATTAAAGATAAAAGTTTAAAAAAATGATACCACTCACTTTTTGTATATATCGCATTATAACTATTTTATTTCGTTCACTTACGTTGCTTAACAATTAGACGTGCTGGTGGCGATTTCCCAATACCATATTCATTAGAAGCGGTACAGATATAATTGCCAGCATGTTCCAACTGCGCATGAGGAATTTTTAATGTACCATCTGTTTGATATACGCCATGTGGTAACTGTCCACCGATATCTTCCTTGTACCATTTAAGTTCGCAAGATAATAATCCAGGTACCCAACAGCGGAAACTAACCATATCATTAACATTTACTGTTTGTTCCAATGGATCAACCATTAGTGGTGGCGGTCTCCCAATACCTAAATTTCAATCTTTTCAAAATTTTAAATGCAAGCAAATTATTAGGTCAAAAAAAGTTGCAATCAAAAAAATAAGTATCATAAATTTACTTGCAATAGAAAGAAAGAGAGAGGGAGCGAAAAAGAGAATTAAGCTTCCGAATGCTTAGATTTTAAGAAAACGGATAAAAGTAAGCTTAAACAGAATCTACCATTTGAAATAGCAGGATTGTTTGAAAGTAGACAAAATTATTCGCAATTATTTTAAATAAACACTGTTAATTTACCGCATAGCCATATTATGAACTTTCCTTCAAAAATTCGTTCTAATCAAACAGTTTAGGGCAAGAAGAGTAAAATAATTCCAAAGTGTGAACTTCGCATAATGTGAAAATGTAAGTCTTACATTAACTTCAAACAGTATATGAATCTAAGCTTTACTGTGTTCAAATAGTTCTAATTACTGATAATTAATGGATTATATGATTACAGGATTTGCATCAGTCTATTATGAATAGAAGAAAAACAACAAGAAAACCTGGCATTCGTGATTTCGGTTCGACACTTAGCATAGCATCATCGGTAGCAAACTGATGATCACCGGATCCGGTACACCGATATTGACCTACATCAGATTCTTCTACACCATCAATAACTAATTCACCATCGTATTGAGCTGCATTACTTGGCAATCCGGCAGTACCAACTTTCGACCATTGTAACCGTATTCCAGCAGTCTTAAAATTATAATTTTAATTTACATAAGATAATTTAGAGTAAAAATAAGAGAATAAAGGGGGAGGTTATTATGGATTAACATAATCATAGTAATTATCGAAGTTCTAATGAATAATATGCTCTACATTTTCAAATTTCAAAATTTCGATGACATTAAGCACATTGCCGTATTTGATTGCTATACATTGATTTCAAAAATATGTGTTGATTTGCTTGACTTATTTCAGAATCTGTATGTAAATTTCTGCGTTGATTTTAATTGACTAAGACCATTTACTTGTTTCTTAACGACAACCAACGAATTTGCATTAAATGTAAAAAAGAGGCAATAAGAGGAAATATTCTGAATACTTCATGAAAATCAAAAATAATTCAAAAATCTAAATGATAAAAATAATTTTAAAATTAACTATTCATCATAAAATAAAACCTATAATTTCGGAATTGATACGCAGCTTCTCAATAATTTGTAACTAAATAGAGGAGACTTTAGCTATGACCAAAAACGCAAGAAATATTTATTCGTTAAACATATTTTAAAATAAGAATTATCGATTAATTAATTATGTTTAATTAAATCTACTTTTGTATCAATTTAATTAAATCTACCTTTATATTCAAACCCATATAGTTCGTTTATGAAAGAAAGAAAAAGAAAAAAGAAATAAATTAAAGTGGAAAACTTAGGGAAAAAAAGACGGTAAAAGAATGGTACCCGTTGTCCAATAACTCGGCAGTACCAACGAGCTCGACCGCCAACCGGGACATGCAAATTCTTCGGGGAATCGATCTGTACACGTAATGGTGGACCATATGCTGAAAAGATAAATTCAATGGATTTTTAATCCTTTTCTCACAAATGTATTCTGGAAATCGGATAAACTACATAAAATATATTTTTGAAGTAACCGAATTGCTATAACTATCAATAAGTACTGCATGCATATTCTGTTTGCAAACTAATTAAGTGGAAATTAAATACGACATGCTATGTGTGTGCTATATATTTGAAACAGTATAGATATTAGTAAAAATTAAACATGCTTTATGCATTTTGTACATGCATGTGCATGTGACCGGCGAATGTTTAAACTATTTTAAAATTAGTTATAAAACAAAATTATAAATAATAATAATTAGAGGGAAAACCTCAGGATATACCAATCCACTGAAATAGATATCCTGAACAATATTAACACTCAAATTCACAAATATGTAATCATAAATCAATTTAAAATTTGACCTCAATTCGAAAATACTGAGGATCAATGACTTCTCCAACTCCGTTGTTAACTCATCTTTCTAAATGTTTCGATACTGTTAATCTTACCCCATGCTATGATGAAAATGATGAAATCCTCCCAAAATTTTCCAAAAAAATTTCATGCTCATGCTAGATTATTAAGAAATTTTATTTTTTGAATATTCTTGAAATGATACCAATTTTTGAATTTCAGAATAGCTAATGAACGCAAAAGAAAAAGAAGCGAAAATAATACTATTTGTGTTTTGGAAGACAACGAAACATTTCAATGAATACAGAAGGAAGACGAATTGAAAGAGATAAAATTGTAATTTTCCACTGAAATAATTTGTAATTAATTTGCTACATAACTAAATGAGAAAAAAATGAAATTATTTGTCAGTAAAATAAATTAGGAAATTTTTGGAATTTTCAAATTTAACATAGAAATCAAATGAAATTTACGATGAGACAGATGTATTGATAGACTAAAAGTCATTATAATTATGCAAATTACTGAAACTGAAGAAATTATTAATTTACATATGAAAAATTTTTATTCCTAAATAAAAGTGTAGGAAAGATTGGTAGAAATTATTACTACTTAATATTTTACAACCATTTCGCAACTACTTCTAAATCTTGATAACCTATAAAAATCTATAACCATCTAAACCAAATTGATAAACAGGAAGAAGTTTAATAAAGTGACACTTTTAGAGGATTGAAATTTCAAAATTAGAAATAAAAACAAAGAAGAAAACACGAAGAAATTTTGTTTGGTTAATTTGAATTTTATATAAAATCATGCATTTTGAAAAGTTTACGTTGTCAGTTGCAATTATAGTGTCATTCGTTTAATTATAAGAAATGTTAAATAATAATTATTATTATGGAAGAAAAGGACGAAATATAATAGACAAAACGTAGGTGATGAACAGTGAAGTTTTCCCATCGAATAAGAACAAGAAAAAAAAGAAATGTAATAATTAAGATCCCTATCACCTTGTTAATTAGCAATACTCTTTTTAAATTGTGATAATAATGACAAATATCATATTTGTGTAAAAACTATAAAGGTGATGCAGAACAAAGCGGAAACTTAAAAATTTTCCGTAACTAGATTTTCAAATTTATTCCAGAAAATCCTTTCATGAAATCTGTTTCGAATGTATCAATTATGACGGGAACTCAGCAACTCGCTTGATAATACTGTATTACAAATGATAGATTACATCATGTTGAAAGCTTGAAACAAGCCAAAGAAGACATTACCGCTATACATACTAGCCATATATATATATAATGGCCAATTAAGTTTAAATAATTGTAGCTAATAAAAATTTGAAAAAGCTATAAATGAATGACAGTTGAAATCATAAGTCTCTTTCAGGAAATTCAGTATCGGTGGTTTAGCGAATACTTTAATTATCATTAAGTCTAATATATTCAAATTTCTAAAAAAACATATTATTTGTATAAATTAGATCAGAATCTATATCTATATATTGTTAAAATGTTAATAATAAAGATTATTATAAGATAAATGAATTTGTGTAAATTTTGATAACAATTTAAATTTTTAAATGAACAGAGAGAAAAGTGTTCGTTAGCTAATAACCACTGTGCTTACGTGCTTGTGAAAATTAAAAAGAAAACAAAAAAGAATACAGGTGAACAGAGTGCTAGTTAAAACAGTAAATTCGAAAAATAAGAAAAACTGTTCATTTAAAAAGTTGAGATTTCCGAAAAATTTTTGAGAAAAATTCAAGAAAATTTCTCAATAATATAATTTGCGTAGAAGATAATAACGACGATTTCGCTGCAAGCGATTACGCTGCCAGCGAAGTGGTCGTTCACGCATACGATCACCTTCAGGAGTTGGTACGAATACGATATTGGTTTCTTCCACATGTCCAATTGGTTCACAAGTACGTCCTTCATCAACACGCGCTCGTGAACGTGAACGCGTATAGCCTGGTGCGCATCTATAATTCGCGAATAAAATTTATTTTAAGAGAAAAAACGAAACAGGAAACATATCGACTCTAGACAAAGGTAACATTAAAAAAAAATTCAGTTGACTTACTCCTCACACAAACGTCCGGTTAAACCAGCCGGACAATTACGGCATTGTACTTGCCCATAGGTATCTAAGAAGCAGTCCGATGTACCTCTGAAATGTTTCTTTTATCTTAAAATTCGATCATTTTCTGCTGTTAAAAAAACGGCATTATAAAAGCATGAAATGATGAATTAATGTATTTCATTTACGTCAACCATAACTTACGGGCATGGACAAGGTATGCAATCGAAAGGAGTACCACGTGTTGCATCACCATAAAATCCACGTTTGCACTGTTCACAGTGATATCCTTCCGTATTATGCTCACATAGCTGAAATTAAAATTTAGTGACATAAATTATTTCAAATATTGGCATGTTAATTTCATCAATTAATTTATGAATAAATTAGAATTTTTATTTCATCTCTTATTTAGTCATATAACTTAGCAATAATTTTATTATTGCATTGCTTCCTCGATTGATAAGATGCAAATTTTATATGCCACATTTTAAAACTACCTGTTTTTTCTTTTTTAAACAAAACCAACCAAACATCGACCAAATGAATCACATCCTCTGGGTGAGTGATTATTACACATACAAGCAGGTCTCGTCGCTGCCGGTTGACAATCATGCGGGGTACCTCGACGAGCATCTCCGGTAAATCCGGGTTTACAACGTTCACACTGATCACCTTCTGTGTTATGTTGGCAATCCATGCAGAATCCATGCTCCTATCATGAATAACATAAACAACTTTTTCACTCTTTAATCATCTCAATTTTAAAATTCCTTTTTTGAATTTATGACTTCAAAAATATTTGCAAGAAAAAAGCGCAATATGAATAATTTATCTTTTGCATTTTCTAATATGAATATACAATTTCAAAGATAATTTTATTTCACTTACTAAATCTAATTGAAAAAAAACAAACTTTGTCACATTGTGAAGCATGTCCATGACATTCACAGCGTTCACAGAGACCTAAGTATAATCCACCACCAGTACGAGAATATCCGGGTGCACAATCTTCGCAGGATGTACCAATGTAACCGGGTGGACATTGGCATTGTTCAACCTTAAATATAGCATATTCATTATTTATTTATAATAAATTCGTTTTCATAAAGGGTAATTATAAATATAAAGCAGTGGTTTACTTCGTATTCTTATCATTACTTCACCAAATATAAAGAAGATCAATGCAATATTCAAGTAAAAATTTTCAAATAAATTTTGCTCATAGAATTCAGGTTATATGATGAAACAGTGATCTAATCGCTTGGTTTAATATTGGTACCAACACCTTAGCTTTCTAGCATATTTTACAAATTGAAAAAATGAACAGATTTCAAGAAAAATTTAAATAATTTCAACTTACCTCATAAGCAACTTGACCACTTGTAGCATGCGGTTCAGCATAATCTAGTGAAACACTAATTAACGATGATGTTGAGCATTCATCCATATAAGTCATTTTGATTAACAAGCTATCAAGATCAGCTAAGGCCATTAATAGATGTTCACGTGTGGCTAATTGTCCATCCATTCGTTGCCAGTGATCTTCGAATAGACTTACCTCAATACTATTTTCACGATCCGCATAAGTTGGCTGATGATTAGTATACTGTAACGCAATATCATTGCCCTAAAATTAATATTTCCTTCATTTATAATTCATAAATAAAATACTTACATAATTTATCCACACATAAATAAATCTTTAACTTAAATAATTGCTTGTAAACTGAGAATTTGGAAATATAAGTTGTTTCTGTATGTAAACTGTTCGATAGAAGTCATTCTTTTAAACTTTTTCTCCGTTAATGTTGTTTTAATATACAAATATTCATTTATCCCCTTAAATTAACTTCCTTTTAGGCTCAATTTCAGCAGCAATTTTATGATAAGAATGAAACAAATGTTTGAAATGTTAAATAGCTTAGAAAATTTGCATATTTGCTTAGTATTACATGCAAAAAAAATAAGATAACATACTCGTAAGATCACATCTACATCAGTATTTAATGGTCCAGTACCAGAATAACGAAAGACATATTTTAATGTACCGCCATAACTGGTAACTTTATTACCGAGGAATTGTTTTGGCATTTTCCAATAGAGTGTTTGTCCGGGCATTTCATAAAATGATGAAAATGTTATATCATGTCCTGTTATTTGTGCTTGTGATTGAGGACTGAAAAATAAACGACAATCATTTGGATTAATATTTTTGTTTTTCTGTATTAATATGAGTAAGCCACTTTGAAAATCAAAAATTAAATTCTTCATCTGCACAGATAATAAAAAGCTATTTCAGAAATCAAAAATGATATTTACTTATTCTACTCTATGTCATATAGAAAATATTATTTTTAGCTATTATCTATTAAATCTTTCGACCATTTTAAATTTTTCAAAGTAAAAAAATAAGAAAAGTAAATCAGATTAGAATACATACGTAAATGGACTATGTGCATCGCTGGTAGTAATTTCCAGTTGATCGGTAGCACTTCTTCTATAATCAATAACTACCTGAGTTCTGTAGTAGTTATTTGCAGAGGTGCATTGTTGGGTTACTCCTGAGCAGAAACATGGAATGCAACCTTGTGGATTTCGAGATGCTAAATGGAAAGTGTTGGGTGGACAACGGTCACACAAGGTACCTATAGCATACATCTTACATTGACATTTACCATCATAATCAGGATGTGTACTACGTGCGCCAGCTGCTGAGCATTGGGCACGATGCTGAACAGGTACACAGATACCAAGATATAAACCTTGCGGTGAACGTTCATATCCTGGTGCGCAATCTTCACAGGATAATCCAATATATCCTGAAAACTCTGACAAAGTTGAGCTGAAATCTATTCCATAAAACTTTTACACCTCCAATAAAAAGATTTTTCCCATTTATAAATAAAAATAAAATATATCAATAAATCTTATATATCAAATAAGCAAAAAGTTGACAAGTTCTTGGACCTAATTCACTGAAGAGAGGAAATAGCTGTATAACTATCAATTGATGAAGTTAAATAAAAATTTTAAAATAAGCAAGTAAGAATAGAATTTTTAAACCTGGTGGACAAGAACAATGTTCTACTTCTAAAGCTAATCTCTCTTGAGTATCACGATTAACTGCTATTTCCCAAGTAATATCTCCAAGCCTGCAACAAATTTGATCATTCTTTTCTTGTTTTTTTAACAAAATCAATTATAATAATCAGAAAATTATAATCGTACTGAATGTATTTCAATATTTCGTGGATAAGGAGAGTGCATCGAAAAAAAGTATAGCAAGAATATATATTTTAAATTAAAAAAATTGAGTTCTAAAATACAGCAATAGATACAGCAAAACCTTGTGTACTGTTGTCCATAACAATGTGTAGCACGGATTAACATTAAATCTACATTAGCTAGTACCATCATCAGATTTTCTCGTGTTGCCGGCCTTCCATCTAATTCTTCATAGTTTGCCTGTAAATAATTCGAAAAAAAATTCCTTCTTTTCCAAAAAAGAAAAAAGTCGTTTTTCAGCTGATTAATTTTCTATCAATTAAAAATGGCAAATATGAAAAGCTTACCTCGTATGTGTTGATAGTATATCGGATTGTTTTATCGGAAGCAAAAATATGAGTATCCAATGGACGATGCACCAATGTTATACCGTTACCCTAAAATATAACCGACAATTTTCTACCACATCAACTATCATAATATAAATATCCTTAATTTACCGCACTAGGTATCAAAAATTAATATCCTTTATTGACCACATTAGTCATCATAACATTGAAAATCCCTCGTCGGCTATATCAGCTTTATATAAGAGAGACTTCACGTGCCATTTTTTACAATTACATATTGTAAAATTTAGTTTTTTATAACCCTACAAGCCACTTCTATCTTTTACTATAAATCCAATAACTAATACACTCAATTAACACTTTTAAGTAATAAGTTAATATTGCTTAAATATTAAATTATCACTTCATTTTCAAAATTAATCAAATTAAAAAAACTGCTTCACATTGTAAAATTTCAAATATTTTTATCACATCCGTTGAATGTTTTTCTTGTATAGGTATAATACGGAAATTAATTAAAAAGAAAAACAAATACTTCAAGATAAAAACTTACTTTTAGAACAATCAACGGTTCATTATTCACAGATCCAGTACATGAATACTGCAAATCAAATGCAAGTTCACCACCATAGGCTGTTAGCTGCAAATAAAACAATAATATATAATCCGAAAGAATTCTGTTTTAATTTAATAAATATAAGTAATCATATCAAATGCTAAATAACAAATATTAAAATATGTTCTGTTTGATATATGAAATGGCAAAATATTGTAGAAATTTGGTAATATTTCCTGTTAAGGAGCAAATTTATAAGATTTTTTTTCTTCTGCATAATTTATTGCTCTTCAACATGAATTATTTTTCATGACATATGAATTTTTAAATTGAAAAATATGCATATATGGATAACCCAAACCTTATTTCCATGAAAACGTGTTGGTAATTTCCAATACATTGTTTGATAGGATGGTTCACTGTATGTTACCATACCAGGTTTGTTGTAATCAAATCGTGAACTATGAACTTGTCCATTAATATCCGATATTTGAACACCTCGTGAATCGCCATTCAAAATTAGCTTATCCTAAAAGAAAACAAAAGAAACTCAAAAAATAATATATGTTGAAATAAAGTGATAAGCTTCAAATATAAATTTATATGTGCCGCAATGTGCCAAACAAACAAGAAGAAATTCTGTTGAAAAAAACGAAAAAGTGCATTATAAATTGATTTATAGTTATATAAAGATGAATTTATTACCTTCAAAAAAGCTACGTTTGAAAAAGTTAAAAGAAATTGAAGAGAATATATATTATTTGAATATATCTTTCTCTCTTTAGACAACAAAAAGTGCGAAATAAATTTTGCTACTAAATTCTCTTCTTTTTACAATAATCTAAACTTTGGGGTGAAAAGTACAAAAAAAATAATAAAAGATTATCATCGTTCCAATTACTGCAATTTATTAAAAGAGTCCATTTATTTATTACTTGAATGTTACCACAACTAATTAATAGTAATAGTGTAGGATTAACTATGTATATATATATATAGTTTAGCACACCTTAGCACATTAATTACCACACAAATTAGCACACCAAATAGTGCATAAAAGTAATTAATAAAACTTACACAACCGATATTCTGAAAAGGAAAACATAGAATAAGACGATTGATTAGTGATAATTCAAATTTATTTATAATGTAATCATATATTACATAATATAAATTGCTTAATTATTAGCTTCATACCAATATCTAACAATTTAACATATCGTTATAACATATTGATTTAATTTTTATCAATTACTATCAGTAAATTTCTTCATCATCTCAGCTTGTATTGCTGCTAACATACCCATTATTACCTGCAGTATACTTACTATAAAGTTTAGTCTTTTGCGAAATCCATATCGTTAACCATTCCTATTATCAATAATTGATTCATATCTCGATTTATGTTTATCAGAAGACTACTTTACCGCCAAAAATTATCAGAAAAAAATGATTTTTACTATTTCCTCCTGTTATCAACTGACTGCTATAATTGATCAGAACTTTTTGCATAATTTGCAGCTGATACAGTTATTTTAAAAGTTCAACTCTTTCATTTATCAACATAAAGGAAAAGAAAAAGATAAAGGATTTAAATATGTTATATCTAATTGTTTTAATCATAATTTCATCGGTTTTTTCAGTAAATTTAATTTTTAAGTAGAAATTTGCCAAACAATGATGCATTTGGTTGATTTTTCTTTCTAGAAAACTTGAAAAGGAAAAAAAAGAAATATTTACTGGCTAATAATAACTAAAAGCCAGCTTACTTTTGTCCTATACCATGTCGATGATTTACATTGATCGGTAACACCAAAGCAGAAACATTTTAAGCAACCCTGTTGAACTTTCTCATTCAAATGATATGCGCCTCGGCTACATGAATCACATTTTAAACCTACCACCAGTGGCTGAAAAAGGAAAGATGAAATAGGAATATTGGAAAATTTTTTAAATTTTCTTTTTTCAATGACACAGTCAGTACATACACATGTGAGCGCAATGTCATAATATTGATCGTAATGGATTATCAATATATTGGGTAAATGATGGTTTAATTTTATGCAATTAAAATTTGAAGGGAAGCTAACCTTACACTGACATTGGCCTGCATGATCCGGAATTGGACTTACAGAACCGATCAAATTGCATTGTGTTTTTTCTTGCATTTCAGGAGCTGGAATATTAACGATGCGAACGATACAATCTGGTGTGGCTAATACTCGGCCCTTAACGTTAATTGCTTCGCATGTATAGGCACCTTGGTCAAGTGGCCTAGAAAATATAATCATCCAAGTTTCGATGGGAATATTTAAATTTGCATTCAATTCATTTACTTTATCTTTTATTAGCATGAATATTGTAATAGATAATACTAGTTCAAATTATTTACTTCAGTATTAAATCGAAATGCTATTAATCTATTTAAAAGGATAAATTTACAAAAGTTTGCCATATCAAACTTGCAATATTTTAATAAATATTAAAAAACTCTAAGAAGTAAATTCCAATTTTTTAATCATTCATTAAAAACATCCAAATACATTCAACCTAAATTAGTCATTTCATTTCTTTCAACTTACCTTTATTTCATGAAATTTATTAAATTTGATAAGGAAATAAAAAAGGAATAATTGATAGAAGTTGCGGTAAAATAAGTAAAAGATTAAATAAATATTGCCACCTTTCTTTTTTTCTTTACGCTCCCTCTTTGAATGATTTCTGTTTTAGAAACAATTTTTGAAAATAATTTATGAGAAATTTATCGAAGACAACTGTTTCCTAGACATCTGCTCATCATCTTAAGCATTTTCTTTGATATTTTACAGAATATTTTAGCTCAACTTCCTCTTCCTCTGAAGAGATCTCTGATTGGAGTGGAGTGCAAATGACTCATATATTCGGTATTTAACAAATTACTGCAAAATAGCAAAGAATGAAAAAGAGAAACGAGAATAAGCGTTTAAGTTCATTTGTAAAATATTTTAATCAATCAATCTTAAAAGTTATTTAATTTACTTTTCAAAAAAACAAAGGCACATTGCATTATTTCGCTTGTGATAGTAATATGATATTTGGAGTAATTTTCTTTTTAATTTAGGAAGTATTTCAATAATATTTTTACTATCGAATTCTTATCGTTCATTTCTTTGATTCATTTAACAAAAAACTGTACAAAAATCCATATGTAATGACCATATATTTATTTCACTAGATTTATTAGTGACTTAATCACTAACAAATATGATTTCTAATTGTCATATAATTATAGAATAATGCTCAACCACTTAATTCCTATTATTTTCCTCTATTCTCTTCAAGGATTAAAATTATACATATATTTCGAATTTTACTTTATATCATTCCAATTATTTAAGGAGTTGGAAAAATTATTATTCTTAGATGACTAAGTAATATTAATATAATATGGAATCAATATTACAAAAATAGACAATTATCTAATTTGATAGTAAATTTTTGAATGAATTATCACTCATAGGTTTTGTTAAAAGTTCGTTCATACTTTTCATGAGAATTAAAAAGTAAAAAAAGAAAAGTAAGGACATACTGTGCGTTGTTCACAGTAAGTGTACCGAGACCACCCTCAGAATGCTGTGTACACCTCGGTGGATCACAAACGGGACCCCAATTAAGACGCCAGTTGATATACGGTTCAGGTACAGCTACCGCTTTGCATGTCAACTGGAAAGTACCACCAGCTTTTACTTGCTTATTCGTTTCCGGTGGTTGTACAATTGTCGGTTGTACGCATCCAATCTTTAATAATATATCATAAATTACATTTCTTAATAATTAACTCGTGCAAAAAAACATCATGAAAATTTTTCGTTCTATTTCCAATTTTTTGCAGAAAAATTATTGCAAAAAGAGCGAGAACTTTATATTAGGAGCAAATTGCAAATAATATTAAAGAAATTGCTCGAATAAGTTTTTATTATTATTATGTACATAAATTTGAAATGATAATTCTGCTTTCATTTATTATCATTTCTTCTTTTCATTATTTAAAAATAATTAACGCTTCGCCACCTAAGAGTAACCCAAATAATTGCTACTTTAACTGTCGTTATGCCGTATGTAAGTTATCTTTTGCAGATAAAAAAAGAAAGCGAAAATTTCTTCGATGTAATGAAATACATATCACAGCGTAATTTGGTCATATTGAATATCGCGGAATAATCACTTCAAATTTAAATATTATCCTTTTCAATCCCTTCCTCCACCTATTTTAAAATAAAAACCTCATCAGATCCATCCTGACAATCATTGGTACCATCACAATGGAAACTAAGCGGAACACACTGTTGACCATCGCGACACTTGAATTCACTTGTGGCGCAACCATCAGATGGAGCTCGATGGCTACAGGCTTGTTCATCTGAATTATCGCCACAATCATCGTCACCATCACAGAGCCACATCTTTTGCACACAACGACCATTATTGCATTTGTATTCATTCGGTTCACATGAACGCAATGACGGACAATTCTGTAATTAAAACATTCGTAACATGGAAATGAAATTTATTAATTGTTTAATTAAGAAATAAAAACTAATCTGATCCATAGATTATCGAAGTTATTCCGATTCATTTCTGATTCTAAAGTTTTCAAAACTTTCCTTCCATCACAAAGTCACTTTTTTACTTATACTATTTACAGTGCCGATGATATGCATCGAAATTTGTTATTGAGAAGATTTTAACTCACTTCAACTTCAACAGACTGTAAAATTACTAACCTGTTCATCACTACGATCCCGGCAGTCTGGTTCACCGTCACAAATATAATCACTTTTCACACATTCGTTATTACCGCAAGCTCGTTCATCAACACGGCACACACCGGTCTGTGGTAGAATACTTTGGAACTCTTGTGGCCCATCTGCAGCGGAAAAAAAGAAAAGATTAAATTGCCCGAAACTCGCCACCTAGCTGCAGGAGAAAAGAAACCTTACCTGCCAATTGTTCATCAACTCGGGATATTTCTATAAAACTTATCTTTTATTCACCAATTGATTTCATTGAAAACATCAAACAAGACCACTACACGAAACTATTGAAAGTCTGTGTAAATACTGCACAAATTTAATTTGAAAATAATTGCAAAATCATGATGTTAAATTTGTAGTAAAAAGTGAAACAACCGAAAGTCAGCGTAAAATACTGATTTAAATATTTTTATTATTTCACTTTTACATACATCAGAAAAGTTTCTCTCTACATGATCGATCAATCATTTCTAATTCGATGAGACGATAATAACACCATTATTATTAAGTTGCCTTAATGATACTTCTATTAAATTGCTCCTGTCTTGAAATAATTCCAACATTATCGAAGCATTTGCCTCAATTCAGTCTGTCTAATTAGTACTTTTAAATTATATGTGAAATACTAAAGTTTTTCAATAAGAATGAAACATTGACGAAAATATTTTAACAAATTTGATCCATTTAAAATCAGTGTTTCATTTTCTTTCGGACAAATATTAACAAAACAGACAGACAGACCGACACAAAACACATAAACGAATATATGTATGGGTAATTGAACTAATCGAGATTTAATATCAAATTCAATACAATAATAAACTGCAAACATTTTTCACTAAACAACAACAGTAATCACTAATTGTTAACACACTAAATAAAATTTCAATTTAAATTTAAATTGCTAATTTGAAGAGAAGATTGAATGAAGTTTTTTGATATTTATAATATTAAGATGAATTAATTTCACACACTTGAAGAACGTATTTTTTTGCTTTAAAAGCATATTTGATTTGATATGAAACTATATTAATTAAAAAGCAGAGTAAAATATATTTTGGTCAAATATTCAAGTTAAGAAAGTATGTTTTGACAGCGACGTTTGAATTAATATTTATATCTCTATCATAAAACAAAGGAGAAATAGATGAAATTCAAATTATAGATAAATAGAAAGGAAGAAAAACTTCGATTTCAACAAATTCTCTATAAAATATTACTAATGAGTTCAAAAAAGGAAAAAAGTGCTAAAATTACGTGTGATATTAATTTGAAACTTACAAAAAGAAATTTTATTCCATAAAACATAGAATTCTTTTTCAGTTGATAAACTTTATATCCATCTTAATTAACAATCAATAAGTCAATTTATAATTAAAACAAGGCAAAATACTTCAAAATACAAAACATTAAAACTCATTCTTTTGTTTTCCCAATCAAAACAAATGATCGGCATATTTACTTTTATCTATCAGTTCTTTTTACCGATCTGTTAGCTTTTCAATCTTCTTTTCATCTCTGATCTAACTTATTTTTAATAAAGAAGAAACAAGTTCATTTCAGGTACTTTTTCTTCCCATTTCTTGTCATTCAATATTATTTTCTTCAACAAATACTACAAAAACAGGTTCGTTTCATTTTATCGAATATTTATTTGTATGCTTTCAACCAAACAATTCTCATTTTTAAAATGGAAAAGAAAAGTAAAAATGAAGTAAATTCGGTTGGCAATAATAACCACTCGTTTAGATTTGTTTTCTTTTTCAATTTCAACCTTTTATCTTTCACCTTTCCACCTATTAATATTTTGCATGAAAAAAATATTATATGTATTTGATTTAAAATAAACAAATAAATATATAATATTTTTTAAAATAAAAATTATCTTATGAAAAAGGATACATTATATTGTTAATTGAACAATAGACATTTTTGAATAAACTTATTATTTTATTAAATATATTAGTAATAAATTATAATGAAAAATTAAAGATATATTTGTTGAAAAAACAGAATATATTATTTGAGATATTTACAACACATATTTTTTAAAATTCAAAAAATAAAGTATCATTTTCATTTTAATCGTTTAAGCGTATGTGATACTGAGTAGTGGTGTGGGTAACCACTATGATCGTTTGTTGCAGAAAGTTACAACAATCAAGAATCCTATCTTTTCCCCTTTTCTTTCTTTGTAGAGATAAAAAACGATTTCTTCCTCCCAATGAAAGAACTCTTTCCTGAATTAATGCTTAAGAAATGACTGGTAGTAGAAGATAAGGTTTTTTTTTCCCGGAATGTAAAATGAAAGAGCTGGAAAAGTTAATAAGTTTGACCGGATATGACATTGATATAAACAGCCGAATCATTAGAAAAGCATTAATTATAATTAGATTTATTATTATTTGTTATCTGATCCAAAAATTACATTCTTTTAAAATTTTTACTCATTTATGCCGTCCTAAGATATATAAATATAGGAGACTACTAATGGTTAAAATTTCAATTTTTTAAGTCAGAAGAAAATGGAAATTTAATTTTTTTCACATTTTAGCAATTTAACCGTAAAGCAAACATAACCATAATGAAAATATTGTCAACATTATTATCATTAATTATTATAGTTGAGAAAAGGGAAAGAGAAATGAATTATCATTCCAAAAAGAAAGAAATTATTTGTAAAATTTTATTTTATTAACGAATATGTGATTCAACATACTATTTCAAACTAAGGTTGTGCGAAAATACAGTTGTAGCTTCAGTACGATACTAAAACAAAGTAGTAAAACGTAGTAATTATGTGCAGGCCACGACTGGATGAGAAGAATTGCTGTTAATCTGTTTAATCTCTCAAAAGTTGCTAAATAAATTTAAAGTCCGGTATCAGACGATGTTGTCAGCAAATTTTCAGGCCAACTTTTGATGTATTTCAATAATTGCATTAATTAACTTCATTCAGTGTAGAACTTACAAGATTGCACGTTTAGTTGGGCAGATGCATCATAGTTACGTCCGCCAAAAGTTGCTGAACAAACGTATCGTCCACTATCAGATAATGTCGCTGATGAAAATTTTAATCGCCCGTCTATTTCATACGCTGAAGTAGGCATTGGTGCATCGTAACGAGTCCACCGTACTTCCGGGTACGTAACTCCATCAGGGGCACGTGCACGGCAGTTAAATGTAGCATCTTGTCCTTCATAGATGCTTTCTTCGATTGGATAAATGGTAATTTGTACTGCTAAAATGGAGCGGCAACTACTATTTAGTGATTTATGGTGTCAATTTTGAGTCTGGTGGGAAATTAAAAGTCGAGTGATTTTACCAACTAAAGAAAAGACAATGGAATAGTTAAAAGAATTTCAATGCTTCTTGTCCATGAAGTCAAAGTTGAGAAGGAAATATTGGGTAAAAATGAAAACACTAAATAAAAAAATTATTATTGCAAATAAAAAATCCGAAATCGCGTTCAGTTTTCAGTACTGAAATGAAAAAATTGGAATTAATCCTAAATAACTATTTAATAATATCTATATTTATGAACTGTGAAACTAACAATGTGAATGGTAGTGATCGACATTTTGATCTGAAATATGATACATTTGATTGATTTCTCTTCAAATATCACTTAAATTAAATTATTAGTTCATTTGTGCTTTAAACAATAAATAAATTTGAATTATCCTTGCTATTTATTATCAATTGTTCATAATGTGAAATCATTATGCTAACATGCAAATTGAATTGATGATTTTAACACATTCACGCTTTATCGAAGACTGTCAATAATTTTAATTTTTTAAATCTTTTTTTTCGTTTTCATGTGTAAAACATATACGGGAAAAATTACTTGTTACTCAAAAAATTATTAATTGAGAAATTATTATATGATTTTTTTTTTTAAATTCAGCTTCGCATAATTTTAATAATTAATACTAATATGGTTAAATGATAAACTTTGAATTATCGTAAATTGAAATCCTCTGAAATCTTCAAAATATTCAGCTATTTCTCTCTAACTTTTTTGTCTCCTCAAAAAACTTACACCGATTATAACTCCTTTCATTCCATGCTTTAATAGTAGCGATAGAATTTAATAATAATAATTGTTGTACTAGTACCAACGGCGATATCAATATCTTTAGCCGGCATAACTCCCTCATACCTGTATTATTATATTAATTTATATCAATATTCTTTTTTTCCTTTTTCAAACCGTACCGCATAAAAAGAAAAATGAAAAATTGATATTATATATATAAATATCCAAAGTAAATTTAACGTTGTTTTATATGGAATCCAAAAAAAGAGAAATGATCGAAGCTCAGCTGAGAAGATAATAAAGATAAGTGAAAGAATTACAAGTGCTTGCATTTACGATGGAAAGTATTGATTGCAATGCTACAAAATATTTTAAAAATTAAAAATTATAAATTTAAAACTCCTATTCTTCCTTTCTCATCTAACATGAAGATTGTATCTGCAATAGTATTATGTAATAATCAAACAAAGATTAATTAAAAATTAAATGGAAGGGAAATATTGAGAAGTGAAAAAAGAAGTATGACAAATAAGGAAAATTATCAAGAATTACAATAATTCTAACAAGATTGACAAATTTAACTTTTCAAGTGAAATAAAATTTGAATAGCGAATTAATAATCTAAATGATTAATTAATTAATTAGTTAAGTGTAGAAATGAAATTGAGTTCCTTCAGTAAATTATTTTTCCTTAACGATAATAGTTTTTTCTATTATCAAAAAAAGCATATTATGGAGAAGAAAAATATTTGAAATGACAATGAAAGCTTATTTATAAATTCATTAAACAATTTTATATACAAATTTTGTGTCATTCATTTGGCATCTAAGAAAAGCAAGGAAATTCAAAAAAAGGAAAAAATGGCTTAATTTATTGATAATATATCAAATGGATAATTGGAAAAACAAAATGCTAAATTAATTTAAGATTTCTGGTTAACATTAAAATGTTGTTGTTTCCACCTATGGTAAATTACATGGTTCACAATGACACATTGAATATTGCTCATACATTCAACTAAGTGTTATAGTTAATTCTGTCAATATTTATGTGCTTATAAAAAATGTTTTCACAACCAAACTAAAATTTAACGATAGAATTACGGGTTGAAATATAATTTGTTAATACTATTATGAAACAAATTCCGCCATTCATTCTTTTTTTAATTGATTCTTGAAATTATTATAAAGATTCTTATTGTTATTATTAGAGAATAATTTAGTATAAAACTTCATCACCAAAAGAAAGCAAAAATATTGAAACAAAGCAATTCACTATAATGTAATTTCAATAGACAATATAGGAAGCTATCGAATAAATTAGGATGATAATTTCATTAATCATTTGTTTTCAGATTTCAATAAATAAAATAATAATAATTTATTGATTGAAAAAAAATCAGAAAAATTTCTCTTACAACTGATATGATAAAATTATCATTTGAAATGAAAAAAGAAATACCCAACTTTTATGGAATTTCTTTAACAAATATAAATAAATTAATAAATTGAATAATTAACACATAAAAAGAGAGTTAAAGTTAGTGATAAAAAGAATGAAAAACAAAAAATGAAACACTTTATAATTAACAACTTTCCTGATAACAGAAAAGAAAAAGGAAGGAAGAGTAAATGCTCATTTTTGAATACTTTATGAAATTCATCAATAGTAAAGAAAGGAGAATAATTGACAGACGAGAAGGACCAGATGGGAAAGAAAAGAATGAGAATGATTCTTAGTTAAAAGGTATGTTTATAAGTGATAACGATTGAAGATTTTTTTTTCTGTTAATCATTATTGGTTTCAATAAGTGATAACGATTGTACAATATACATGAAATTTTCATTTTCCTTCTTATGTTTTTTTATTTCCAAAATGAATATTTAAAAAAGACTTCTACTGCTAAAAAAATATAACGGGAAGAAATTACTAATTCTTTCCTGTCCCTTTCTTCCTTACTGATAAGCATAGAAAATAATCAGTTAAATGATATATGATATTAATCATAACTGAGTAATCAAAATTTTCCATTTCCTAAAGTAATATTTGAACGTGAAATTAATTGATTCCTCCAATTTACATTATTTATTAGTAAAAATGAAAGATGAAGGAAAGAGGAAGAAAAATGGATGAAAAATGAGAAATTTACCTGAATATGTATAAAATTGCAAAATTGTTTGATTATGATAATTTCAAACTAATGAAATGTCATTTGTCGGAATGTGTAACGGTGAAATTTAAGAAGAGTATAATGTGATGGATAGGAAGTATTATGAATTACCTAAAAGTATTATGCAGAAATTATGGTTGTTTAGAATATATCAAAATTTTTATATCCAACAAGATAAAAAATAAAATTTCAACTTATAAACTTAATAATACTTGAATTAAAACGAAAATTAATCAAAAAGATAATTGTAAGCCAAATTAGACATTGAAATATATTTTATGATTTTATGAAATCAAACGGTAAGATTGTATTCAATACTGTCGTATGAAAGTAAAATTTTAAAATTTAATAATTAAAATGCTATATTATCGTACGCTATATAATTATGTAAATTACATATGTGATTTATACCATACCATTCATAACTATAAAAAGAGTTCTAAAAGTGATTTCACATATTCAGTACATTTTAGAAAATTAATTCTTAATTATAATAATTCAATAACGCTTGAGATTTGTCCCAATAATTCATCAGATTAATTAGCAACATATAGATTAATCAAATTAAAATTTCAGTTATTAAAAGTAATCAAACAATTATTCCATGTTGAAATAATTTTGTATACTTTCTAAATAGATTAAAGTTAAGTTTAAAAATTTTAATAAGAATTAAGTTTAGAAATTGCTACATTGAAGAAGATAAGGAAAAAGTTAGTTGGTTAAGCAAATTTAAAGAGATTGTGAAGGAACAGCAAAAGATTAATGAAAAGAGCTAAGCTGCAGTTTTAAAGAATTTCAAATGGATGAAGTGAGAAAAGAAAAAGTGAAAAGGAAATGATTAGATTACACATAGAGATCGAATGTAAGTTCATTATAAAAAATGGAACAAAATCCTTCCTTATATTAAACAAATATTATCAAAATTTTAAGGAAGAAAAATCTTTTAAAACGACTAAATATTATACAAAGAGAATTCCCCACAAATAATTAATTTTAGTATAAATAATTTAAGCTAATCGATTTCTTATTTTCCTTCTTTACAACATTGCAGCACAGAAAGTATGAAAAAGCAATTCATTTTCCACTTAATTGTGTAGTTTTTACATTTTCTCCTATTTTTCTTCCCTTTCAATTTCATATTTAAAACCTAATATATAATATCTTCACCAATTATCTCCTAATACATTTATCATTCACAACTATACTACAACTTTCAAGTCAATCTCTATTGAATAATTGGCATAAGTCTCATAGTTAGCCTAATGGATAATCCAAAAAATTATTAAATTGATGCAAATGCTTGGATGAATTCCTCGACATATGTCAATAAGTTTTCAAAAAAAGAAAGTAAATAAGAAATCAACTCAAAACATAATCATGATTATATATAACGAATCAATTAAAAGTACCTAATGGCGATTATGTATAATGATTTCATTCAAAAGCATAATCACGACTACACATTCTATAATGATGTAATAATCATAAGAGGCAATAAAACGATGATTAAACTCCAACTGATGAAAATATGGCCAAATCCGAAAGATTGAAAGGTATGAACCGGAATTAGGCAAAATGCCATTGAAGAAAAATTTGTCTTTTTTTTTGAATTTTAGAAAAATGAAAACAAAGCAGTGATGAAATTTTCTGATCAATTTTCCAAAGCATTTAATATTTGTATGAATATGTTAATATCAGAGCGGAAGATTAAAAAACAATGAAGAAAGAGTAATGATAGAATGATTAATGAACAGACTGATATCGATTATCATATAAATACGTATTAGTATTACTTTTACCTATTCGTTTATGATAATGAATGATAAAAAGTATTCGACAGAAAAATTTAAAAATGAAATAATTCCCGGAAAAATAATGTAAAGTTTAATACTTCATTTTAGTGTTGAAAGAATAGGAGAGTGAGAAGTATTTCATTCTCAAAATAATACAATCATTATCTTTTCAGATGTTCAGACTTGTAATTCGATAAAAGAATTTTTATATCGTTATCCTCTTCTTCTTATTCTTTCACTTCTTTAAGATTTCTTTCATTTCAGATCTAGACTAGTCTCAACGTTATCGTCTTCATCTGAAACTTAGTCTGAATATCTTACCATTTGAGCATCATTTCATCTTAAACTTTATCTGAATATTGAATTGAGAAGATAACACTGAAATTCATTGATACCATAATAATTATTAAAGTTTCAATATATTCGAAGTATTGGAATTATAATCAAAAAATGGCAAGTGGGATGGATGACATGATAACATATAATCACAGAGATCGTACTAATCATATCTTATCTACCAAATCCAATCAATTATTCTGTTCCTTATCCTAACCGATAATCGCTATATAGCTAGAAAAATTAGTCATTTCTTATAAAATTTTCAGAAAAGAAATGATAAAAAAAAGACAACATTATGAAGACAAGTAACAAAATTTAAAAACTTGAATTTTCATTAATGAATAAGGAAAATGAACGAAATAATAATTATAATTAATAATAATAATAATAGTAATAATAACAAAAGATAGCAATGATTGCCTTTTTATTACAATTCCTATCGACAGTGCTGTAAATAGCACCACCCACATGCTTTTTTTAAAAGAAAAGTTTCTGAACTTTAAGTATACAGCATACCCATCTTTAAGCTTCATTGTTTTTTCCACATCAAGAACATTGAAATATCTATCATCAATCAACCTAATTTCTCGTTCCACACTGGCAACAAGAGGAAGGAGAAGAACATCAATATCACAAACTTCATTCACATCCGCTACTCCTTTCACAAATACACACATGTAGGAACACATGAACACACACATACACACTATAATATAAACGTTCCTTCACATTTATAAATACACAGCAAATCTTCAACGAACAATGTAATAACTCAGCGAATACTTCAATTCAATGGAATGTAAAATGAAAAAACGGAATTTTTTTTTGACTATGTTTATTACAACTGTTTAAAAAGTTTTCCAATCCATCAATTGATTGATTTATTTTGCCCTTTTTAAAATGGGTTTTGTTTAATTAAAAACATATAAGTAATGTTTAATGGATGTACAATTAATTAATTAATTAATTAAAGGATAACAATTGTGATTATTCAATTATCAAATAATTTCTATTCCTATGTGTATTGAAATAAATTATCAGAAATTGAATAAAATGAAAGAATATGCAATGACATGAGCTAATCATTTCAAGTAACGACCATAATGAAGTATTGTAGTAACTATCAATTTCCTTACGCATAGCTTATATTCTCTGAATTTTGATGTTAAGCTTTGAAGTTATCCTTTCTGTTCTGATGTTCCTCCTTTTCCTTCTTCTCCTCTTCCTTCTCTTCTTCCTGCTCCTCTTCTCCTCTTCTTCCTCCTTACAAACACACTGAATGAATTTCAGCCTTTTTTAATACAGATGATCATAAAGTCTGGCGATCAAAGAATGTCCCGTTTTAAAAATTGAAAATTTTGCAACAGACGGAATGAAATCTAAGTAAATAAATGAAATTTTCTTCATTTATTTCATTTAACTTAAATTTATTTTAGAAAAATAATTTGAAATTCCATTTTGAAAAAAATGACAAATAAGCGATGATAAAGTATAACTCAAAAAGATTAATTACATCAATTAATAATAATTATACTTTTCCTAATGTAACCTAAATTTATTAAAGATAATTTTAAACTATTTTATCAAATGAAAAATAATTAGCATTAATTAGTAAAGCACACTTAACTAAAATCATACATTTATTCCGTCCATCATGCCTTTTTCAATTTCTTAACATTCTTATTAACATATTGAGTTGAAAAAATGAATAAATATATCCTTTAAAACAATATATTATAGTTCATTAAATGGAAGAAAGAAAGGTTTTTGTAACTTTTTTCGGTCAAAAAACTTTATGATTTTTTTAATTGGATTAATAAAGGTAAAAAATGAGGTGAAATTTTATGCCATCCGATCTAACCTCGGCATACTATCCAATTTGCCATTTCATTTCCTAAATATGATTTCATGATTCACTATGAACTTTTAAAAGAAATTTAATGTGAAATAATGTCTAATGCAACATTTCATGCAACTACTTAATACGTTCTTCTCGCATTGGGATAGGAATTAAATTTCTTCGAATTTTTTTCATAAAATATATTTTAATTGTTTTAAGAGATAATAGTTGTGGTAAAATGAAAAGGTAAAATTATACATTATAATTTTCACCTCGAAATTTAGACAATTCCAACTATATCTCATTTAAAATTTGTTATTTATGACAGATTCTGAATTATGAAACAGTTAAATAAAATCGATTGTTATTTGCCATTACTCATTCATTTTGTGGTTATTATAAAAATTAAAAATTAAAATATAGTTAAAATTTTCAAAATTATATTGTCCAAACAAACATTTTCCTTTTTGTTAAGTTAATTTCGTTCGCTTCCAAATTCTAAATTACAATATTTTGTCGAAATGAAACCGAAATTCGGTGAACACTCAAATGAGAATAGAAATGTGAAAAATTAATAAAATCTCAGTAAAAAAGTAAAAAGAAATTTATATATGTTGCAACATAATAACTAATCAATTATTTAATGAAATGATAATCATTGATATTGGTAAAAATGATGATATTAACAGTGAGCTTTATATAGAAAATTTCTTTTAATTAATCTAAATAATTCTTAACTTTTTTAATTATTATTTTAATAATAAATTACCATTCATTAGGTAAGTTTTTTCAATAAAGTTATGAAATAATGACAGAACTTAGAACTAAAAATTATAGTAATATATCAAAATAATTTAAATTATGTAATTCTTAGGAAAAAAATTGGATTGACATAGAGCACTCAATATGACCAAAAATGTTGTTTATCATGTACATACTAAATGGGAGTGGAAAGAATAAGGGAAGGCAATTTCCATGTGATTTTAGATTGTGGTATAGTGAATGATGTTGAAATTGTAGCATCGGTATAAACGGAAGGAAGAAAGAGAAATTGACGCTTCTGATTTTTACCCATCTCGAATACCCCGTTCGTAAAAGAATTGGAAAATTTATCACCCCTGTACACCTCATTCGATTTATATTATCACTCATCAGGGAAACGATAGATAGATAGTTATCAATTAACAATTAACGGTTGTTTTTTTCTCACTCATTGCTAATAATAACAAAAATCTCGTCAACATACAATAAATAATATTATAGATTAATTAGATGTAATCCATTTTATCAGATTATCATTTTTATCATTCAATCAATCTCAAAACTTTCCATATTCCAATTCATAATAACGACATCATGATATTTATTTCATTGAATGGCAAATTATCCTTCAAAAAAACAAACAGCTTAATTATACATTAACATTTGATATAACATGTAATGAAATTGCTTTGAAAAAGTTTTGTAAATAATACAATCATTTTAAAGATTTAAATTTATTTATTTTCATTTCCTCGGAATAATTAATTTAGTCAACGACAGTTTAATGTTCTGGTTGAAATTAGAATATGTCCCATATAAAACAAATCAAAATTGAAGAAATTAGTTTAATGTATTCGATAATAAAGTATTATTATCAATATCAATTAACATTATGGATAATTTTAAGTCCATTTCAAGTTTACAAATATTTTTAGAAGATTTTAATTACGCCAGATATAAAAGATTACTATTTGCTTTCGCTATTTGTTTCACCTTTGTAATAAATTATCCTAAATTCAAATACTGAAAATTATATATTTTAGTTTTAATTAAAATCCATTTAAAGAATTAATAGATAACAAAAAAAATTATAGAATAGTTTTAGTAAAGAATGATAATAATTAGAAAAAAATGCCACAATTTTTGAATTATTTCTTCCAATCCGTTCGTTTCTTTAACAAATGATCGAAGGAAATGAATTGTTTTTAGATGATAATTTTTCAATTTTTTTAATTTCAACTGTTAAGTTCAACGATAATTTCGATAATTAAATAGGCCAAAAAACCATTTTCAAACAAATTAGGAATGTATGGAATGCATTAACGTAAAAATTGGAAATGTTATTTTTCCGGTTGCTTCTTCTTCTTCTTCCTATTCTCATTAATTAATATCCGGAAATTCCACATCTTTTTCTTTTTCCTTACATTCTTCTCTTCATAAATAACAAAAGAATGAATTCTTTTTCTAGCATAAAATAATGATTAAATAGAATATCTTTAATTCCCACTTCTTAATTAACCATCTTTTCTACTTTTCTATTTTTATTAAACTTATTCTTTCTTTTAATTTTTATTTTTGCCTTTTCCATTTCTTTTTTATTTCTCTTTCTCTTTCCTCTTCCTCTTTCAGATGAAAATAGTTTAATTACAAAATGCTTCTTGTCAGCAATACAGAATATTTTGTTTTGCAATTCTATATTGATAATTTCATCTTATTTCATTTTTCATATGATCAGAAGAAACTTTGTAGAATTCTTAATCCCAACTTTGAATGAAGGATTTATTAGCATTAATTACTTCAACCATTATATTAATGATTTCGTCCCGAAATAGATAATTTCACTTCTTTTTTAAATGAACAAGTGAAATTCCTAACCTTTTCATTCAATTTTTGTCCTCTGTCACCATCTTTCTTGAATTTATTCAGTTTAAATAACGTCAATGATTGGGATTACTTCTCTTAGATTTTGATAATAATAGATAAAAGAGACGAAAATAAGGAATGATGAATATACAGATATACAATACAAATTAGAAATGCATTCAAACGTTTCGCAGAACATTTATATAAATTATCATATTAAGTTATGAATCTCGCATGCTGAAATTTAAATCTTTTTCAGGATTCTTCTAAGCAACTATCCTTAATTTTCCATTTCTTAAATTTAAATGGATGGTTACCATTTCATCGAATAACTAAAAACATGCTCCTTTTCAGGTCTTAAATTTGAATCACATTTAAATGATTGCCAAAAATGAAATTAATATAGCAAAGTAGAGACCATAGAAAATAAAGAATCAAAATATAAAGTTAAGATACTTTATTGATTTCCAAAATATTTGCAAGTAACTACTTTATGATAAGGTAATAGATTAAATTGAAAGGATATACAAAATATAGCAAAGGTTATGATGTAAGGTGTAGCGAAATGAAGCAGAAACCTAAAACAACATCAAAATATGAATGAACTGATATCAGTTTTTACTTCTAAAAATTACCTGCACCTTTACTTCCGAAGAAAATTACTAAATTTTATTGAATCATTTACGTTTAAGAGGTATAAAATTGTTTGGATAATTAATAAAACAAATCTGGATAAAAGCAAGGCTTATTTTAATGCTGATTTCAAATCGATGAAAACCTAAAAACTGAATGGAACATAGAATGAAGATGAAAGGTAACTTACATGCCGTTGGTTTGGAAAATTGTGAAACTGATTGCTTTTCTGTTGCCGAATGACAGAGCATTTCGTCGGAACCGTCAGAACAATCCGTTTTTCCGTCACAATGAGCAGTTCTCTCAATGCATTCACCGCTAACACATTGATATTGTTGAATAGTACAAATTTCACCCGCTTCAACCACTTCATATCGTTCACGAGCATTCGCATCCGTATAACCGTCATTATCTATCTGAAATTAATTACATGTAAAACATTATGTTATATTATGAAATCATGTCCAAATTGTGAAATCTCGAAGAATTAGTCAGGCAACTTTTTCACGTAAACCAAAATCTATCAACTTAAAAATGAATCTAACGGTTGACATTTTATCTTAAGTAGTCTGAAAATTGAAATCCTCCTTAAAACAATCCATAAATCATAATTTACTATGATAATTGCAATCATCGAAAAAGATTAATTATACTTGGAATTATGAAATGATCAGCGATAACGAGAGGGGTACTGTGAGTAATGATTTAGAAGGATAGCATTAAGATAACAATACATTGGATTGAAATGAATCATAAGTTTCGTGGTAAAGAAGAAGGTAGGTTACAAGTCAATTGGTAAACGTATTATGATTTAATTAATGAATACAAAAATTAATTTCAAATAAATTAAAGTCATTGACATACCTCATTTTCCTTATCCCGATCGTAACCTTCTAACTCAAGTCTCCGCCGTTCCTCACTTTCCCTAATCCGGACTCCTTCTACAGTCATTTGATGTTTTTCATATTTTCCTGTATCTTCAACTTTTTCTTCCATTTCAGGCTTCTTCCTCGACTCACCATAATTAACTCTCGATAACTCCTCCACAAGCCTGCGATCTTTCTCGACATTTCTGCGATCTTCCTCGATTTGCCTGCGATCTTCCTCAACACGCCTGCGATCTTCCTCTAGACGTCTTTGGTCTTCTTCCAATCGTTGTCCGTCTTCCTCCTCCTTTTCCTTCTGCCTCTTTCGTTCTTCCTCCTGTCGTCTTTGTTCATTTTCCCTATAACTTTGTTGTTGTTCCTCTTCAAAACTCTTCCATTCCTTATCAAAAAGTCCGTCCTTAGCATCTTCCTCACTTTTTTGTTTTCCTTGCTGTCGTCCTAATTCCATCTCTTGCTTGATTCTTCCGTGTTCTTGTCGTCCTGATTCCATCTCTTGTCTCACCTTTTCCTTTTCTTGTCGTTCCCACTCCCCTTGTTCTTGTCCATCTTCTTTTTCTCTTTCATACTCCTTCTCTCTTCTTTGCTGTTCGATCTCTTGTCTTCGTCTTTCTTTTTCATAATATTCTTCCCTTATCCTTTTCTTTTCCGCTCTTTCTCGTTCCTCTTCTCGTTGTTGTCGTTCTTCCTCTTCTTCTCTTCTTTTCTGTTGCCTTTCTTGTTCTTCCTTCAGTTCTTTCTCCTTCCCCACTTTTTCCTTTTCCTGCACTCGCCATTCTTCATCTCCCTCTACCTGGTCCTGTTTCGGTTTCTCGGATTCGGCATAACTCGGCATTATTTCTTCTTCAGTTTCGCCCGGATGTATTGTTGTACTTCTCGCTTGTTGCAGAGCTTGCACGAAATATTCTGAAAACTACGAAGTTAAGAAGTTCGTGAAATCCTGTCCTTCTTCCTGAAAACTTCCTGAAAATGGTATATCTAGAATGCTTCTTACCACAGCCAAAGAAATTTGCTTAAGTAGTTCGAAGTAATCGCTAATTAGAAATCAAAAATTTTAATCCAATTTTTGAAATCATTCCGGAAGTTTGAATGGATGTTTTTATAAAGTAGAAACATTAACATACATACCGCAGATACTCTCATCTGTTCCATCATCACAGTCATATTTATGGTCGCATTGATGAATTTTTGCAATGCATTTTCCGTTTTCACACCGAAATTGATCCGATTCACATCCTGTAGTGGCTATTGTAGTGGCTATCGATTCGCCACTGATTGTTAGTGCATTGGCTCCATCATCGGCGCAGTTCGTCTCATCACTACCATCACCGCAATCATCAATACCATCGCATATTTTCATATAATGAACACAAAGTGTTTTCGGCAAATACGGACATCTTAAAAGTTCTATTTGAGAAGAGTTGAAGAATTATTCAATGTTAGCAATCGGAATATTCAAATACCGTTTTTCAAATAACTTTTGTCAAAATTATATCTGACAAAATATTTGCAACTGATTATTAATGGAAATGCTCTAAACAACATCCTAAAAGCTATTTTCAATCCAAATTTTACGCATAATTAAATAGGAAAGTAGATTGATAATCTTATATTGACGGATAAGATTGGATAGAACTTTAATCATTGAATATTTTCAAGAAAACGATTTTTCATTTATAAATAAATGAAAATACCGGAATTCCTGATCAGAGCACTCATCCCCATCTTCCTCATTCGTCTCATCAATTCCATTATTATTTTGATTAGTATCTGATATCTGATTTGTTCCACTTCTTGTTTCTATTTTATTATAAATAATTCCCGAATGGTAACTTTCGTTTTTTGTTCCATTACGCCGGAACAAGCTATCAACATAGCCACCAAATGATTCACTTATTGTTGATGACGACAGGCCATTTGAACCGTAATTTAATCCTTGATTAAGTATGTTCTGGTCATTTGACGATAATTGTTGCATATGGTTTGCTTGTTGTATTTCAGAAACGCGACCTCTTAACTCTTTATATTGATGATTTTCACAAGTATCACAACCAACATCGCCGGTAAGTCCATTACGGTGTTGTTCATTTCTTCCATTATGATTAAAAGTATTCAGAATGTAATTATAAACATTTTGATTATCATTCCCATTCTCTATTGTATTGCCATTATGATTTTTATCAGTTTTATTGCGATTATATCCAGTTCTATCGCTAGTAGTCCAAGCATGAGCATTATCATATTGTCCCGTTTTATCAAAACTAGAAAAATGTCTATGATCGCTTCCGTAGCCCTTGTGATATTGACTTTCTTCATTATCAAACGGTGCAAAAATATTTCGGTTGCCCACATCGGATTTGTGATTATACAGGTTACCTTCCTGAATAGTTCTTATAGCATTTCCTATCCATTAATATAATCAGTTTTGAGTCTATAATAATAACTTTAATGTTTGTGCAAAATACTTCTTTTCTATCGTGCTATTTTTGAACATATGAATTCAAATATAATAATATCATACATGAATAGTATTATTTTCAATAAAATAAGCGAAAGGATTAAGATCAGCAGCTATTGATTTGGATGCTACTGATTCGAAATCTATAACTTCTCATAAAAAATTCCCTTATTCTTTGTGAATGCAATTGATTTGAACTTTTTAAATTTTCAGAGTTTTTTGGGAAAATTTTAGGAGATAGGATAAATACGAAATACAACGTTCAGATATGAATGTTGTATGCTAATTAGAGTACCTGATTTGTTGTATCTTCGCCAAATTTACTGAATGTGTTAGTATCGGTAGCAATTGTCGATTTGGTATAAGCTCGTTGAGCAGCAAGGAAATATTCTAAACGAACTTTAGTAATAATTACAAATTACTACTCATACATTTTATCTTTTTGGAACTTAGATTGCTACTTTTAACTTGAATTTATCATGTTTTTTAATAAAATTATATAAACAATGTATAAATTATTAGTTCTCATATCAAATAAACAGTATATTTTTCATAAGTAAAAACTTATCTAAAAAACTTTTAAACTTACATAAAAAAATGAAAATTTCAAATTGAACTTACCGCATTTCATTTCATCACTGCCATCAGTGCAATCATAATTTCGGTTACATGCTTTTTCACGTGGAATGCATTCACCAGAATCACAACTGTAATATTCCGTACCGCAATTTTCCGTTACGGATCGTTTTTCACTACCTGAATTCAGATGAAAAACTTCCAGAATTCACGATACGATATATGCTTCTATACATAAGTGAGAAGAAATTTTAACGTCATCTGATTGATAAAAACATTTGATAATGTTTTTTAATGCTTGATATCAGTAAAATTCTCTAAAAATTTCAAATTGAGCATTTTTGTTCTAATTTAAAACTTTTCGCATTACATTACTGATCAAAAATTAACTTTAAAATAAAATAAGCTTTAAAATAGATGTAAAATTAAAACTTGCATAAAACATAATGAAACTTTGCAAATCACCCAACCTAAATAGAAAACTTCGATGATACAAATTATGAGTGAGCTCAATAAATTCACCTTTTATTTATTAATATACTTCTTTTTATATCATTTATCATATCTTCCTTTTTTTCACTTTGCATACAATCATTTGCATAAATAACGAAAACGATATGATACTTAAATTAATAATACGCTTAAACATAATATTATGCAATATTGAGAATTACCTGAACCAATTTACATTTGTAGAAACTCAAATTAAATTGTGAACTAATTAAGCTTATTAATAATGGAAAAGTAGAGAAAAAAATTAATATTAATAGTGGAAGTAGAGAGGCAAAAATTAAAATTAATAATAAACAATAAATAGAGAAGTAAAAATGGAAAGATACTATGAATAAATAAAGTTGTGAAACTGCGACTAAAAAAATTAAATAAATTGGACTAAAAAAGGAGGAAGAAAATCTAATTATTAGAAGTGGATTAATTATTAGAATGGTGGAAATAACAGATTATACTATCCAATTTCTATTATTACAAAATAAATTCACAAGGCCAAATTATTTCAATAATGATTAATGATGATAAACTGATGGAAAAATTATTGATTATGTGATGTGAGTGACTAGAGACTATCAGAAGAAAGTCTAATGAAATTTGCAACTATTTCTGATTTCTTAACTATGATCATTAAACTGATTAATCATTTCAATTCATATCTTTATAATAATGCAACTAATCTTGTAGGTCGTTTAAATATTTCATTTTTTTACTCATTTATCAATTTGTAGAATTAAGGTGATGAATTTAGTCATAGAAACATCTTTTCGAACCAATTCATTTTCCGGATTTAATTCTTTTAGGAGAATGACAGGTAAACGGAATGAAAGTTTGGAAAAAAAGTTTAAAAAATTTTAATTTATTATCTTACCCAATAAAAAATATAAAATAGAGGACAGGTACATAAGTAACTTATATCATTATTGTTATTTTACTGATCCATTCATTTGATATACAATTAAATAATAAATGGAAAGAAGAAATTTGTAAAATTTCGATTAAGGAAATTTCAAAATAATAGAATTTACAATCCTAACTTGAAAACATACTTCAGAAAATTTTGTAGAATAAAAAATTTATATGCAATATTGCATATCGGTCATTGACTTTAAATCCCTCTTGTCCATTTTTAGTAATTTCTCTCTGACCTCATTTTCAATATCCTTTCAATACTATTACTGACAATTTACTGTATGTATAATCCTTGAATTTTTGGCATAAAACCATTGATTTGAAGTAAATTTGAATAGTTGAAGAATTAAATCCCTTAAATGTTGTAATACGAAGGAAAAAATGATTCATTGATTGACGATAGAGAAAGATAAATATAAATCCTTGGAGAATACTCCCTGATGGATGATGACACAGTCAGGACGAAATGTCCTAATTTCAAAATGTTCATTCGATGGCACAATGACACTGTCATCACCCAACTTCTGGTTGTCATTTCAGTTGTAAATTTAAATACAACCAACTAACACTTCCAAGAATTACTGGCTGTTTTGTCCTACTGTTAAACGAATGATTTATTTTCAATTTTTTTCTTATTTTACAGTAATGAAAATCAATAACTTATTTTCTATAAATTCTCATTTTTATTCATTTCTTTCTCTTTCCTTTTTATTATCAGATTAAATGAGATTAAGCTTAAATATATTAAATAAATTTATTCGATCAAAATGTTAAGTGTATGATTTATTTACTATAAAATTATTATAACGAAATTTAGAAGACGAAATATTAATTATATCAATGACTAGTGATAAACGAATAAAATCAACAGCAACAAGTCGACGGGTACTCTTCGAGTATCCGCCATTGCCTAGTGTTGAACTTGGCTTTTGCTACATTGTCGTTGGATGTAGTTTAATCTATGCATGGAGTCAAGTGATTATTGCCAGCAATAAATACGAATTTCAATATTGGCATTCAGTACGACTTAATCGATTACCATTAATTGGTGAACGATATATGGTTTGTGTCCATTTGTAAACTATATGATAGAAATGCATAAAGCAAAAGTCTCATTTCTCATTTTTATTTTTGATTAAACTTTATTGAAAATTTGTCCATTGTTTTACTTCGACGAAGACATTACTAAATTTGATGGTACATTAGATTATATTAATTTCGGCAATACTAATATTTGGAAAAATTTTCGGACAAGTTTCACTCATTATGTACAATTAGAAGAAACGAAACTAAAATAATGACGGAATGAAAATTTTCGATTATTGCTATTATTTATTATTATTAATTATTATTGTTATTAATAATAATAATTATTATTAAAGTGACTATATGTCCGTCCTTATTTCACTATCTATTAATTATTCAAAGAAAAAGAATAAAAAATAAAAGATTCTAATTTATATTTAATAGCTAAACCAAAATTGTTAATTTGTAATGATTTTAGCTTATCTTAACTTCCATGATATCATTGACATTGTAAGATTAAAATGAATTGTTGAAATTGAAGGATGAATCAAACTGGGAATGGAGCGCATGGTCACCAATTGGTTTTATGATGCTACCATTTTTTACAATACATTCAATTATTTTCAACATTGGCGAACATTTTATTTCTGATCAAATTTTACAATTAATTACAATAATTTATTCAGTTATTTGTAGTTGCATTTTGTTTACTAAATGGCTTGTCCTTTTATCACTTATTCAAGGCACTGTTATCTTTTTTGCTGCTTATTATTTCCGGTAAATTTACTTGTTTATTCTCTTATTATTTTATCCTAAATTTGCAATTTCCTTTTAAATACATTTCTTTTTTATCGCTTATCGGACAGCAATATTTGAAATGTATTTTATTCCAATCAATTACACTAAAACTTTAATGCATTATTGATTTAAACTAAACTATTTTATTGATAACATACGCGAATATTTTCTAATTATTCAACTATACTTTTTTCGGAAGAAAAGAAAAATGACTTACTCTAAATTTCAGCTATCCACTTAAACAAAAAGCAAAAAGCTAGCAAATTAATTTAATTTATTAGACTTTTTAATTTCTCAATGTTAATTTGAAGTATAGAATTATCATACAACTACATAAATAAATGTCTACAATTCCAAAAGTTACAAGAAAATAACTTCAAATATGTATAAAAATAATAGTAGTAATAATCTGACAAATAATAGCTTACAACAAATATAATTTTAATTTGAATTAAAGTAACCATTACTAAATCATATTTTAATGCAGATTGAAATTGATAATTATCTGTAAAATATTCGTCAAATTATTTAAAATCAATATTACATGATAATTTAAAACCTTATATTAAATATATAATTTTAATTATAGTCATCAACTCGTTGTATGGTTCAGTTCAGTGACAATCCTCCATCTAACATTATATTATACCTATCACCTATCAACAAATCCCTTATTGGTTGTCATCTTCGTATGCTATACCTTACTTTCTTATATATCCTACAATTTGGAAGCGCAAAAGGATGCAGTACGTCCTGAAGACAATACACTTTTGAAACGTTACATTCGCATGCTCTTCTATGCTTTTTATCCGCCGTATATGACTACGTTAGTAGTAATTTATCCTGAATTTGAACGACAAATGCGCCAACGTCGAACTAAAAAGCGTAATTGGCGACAATTTATATTTTTTGCTCTACGCATTGCTTTCTGGTGGTCTCTCATCTATTTAATGTTACATTTTATGTATTTCGAATTGATACTTTATGATTCTGATTATGCAAGAAATTTGCCAAAAAACGAGTTTGTATCATTGGGAATGGCGCTAGGTATGCTTTAAAAATTAATTAATTTTTAAATTATTCTTTCACTTTAATTTTTCTCACAAATTTTAATTAATTCCAAACAAAACATATTATTATATATTTGATAGAAATATTTACAATAATATTACTGATAATAATATCAATCTTTATCAATGCGTAATATTTAATGACTATTTATATATACATATATACCAATAAAAACTAATTTCAATTTCTTTATATTTAAATAAAAACCTTCTAATTGCAAAATTTCAGTTAGCATTTTAAAATTCTTCCGCTTTGAAACTAATTTTTCTTCTTTTTACAACAATCTGAACCAAAAACGTTAATAAAAAAAGGATTATTTTATCTCAGTTCAATCAAATTAGATATCACAATTTCAAGCAAAGCTTTATGCTACTTTTTCATATTTGAATTACTTAATTCATTTCAATTTCATAACATGAATATAAATGTTTGACATATTTATAGGAATATTTTTCCACCTTAAATATGTTGTAATATTTGGTTTGCCACGAGTTTTTGCCTTAGCTGATAATATGGAACCAGCTGATGGACCAATTTGTATCAGTCGATTAACGCTTTATTCAAAAGCCTGGCGCTACTTTGATCATGGCCTTTATAGCTTTTTTAAAACATATATTTTTATTCCAATTTGCACTCCAACTTTTTCTATCCAACGGAAAATATTTGGCGTAATATTATCTTATGGTTTTGTATTATTATGGCATGGAATTAATCGTGCAAATATTGCAAGTTTCAAATAATTCAATTCATTTAAAATTTTGCTTCTTATAAATGCAAACAGTTTTTCTGCTACTAATTTTATTTTCAAACGATGAAATTTCTCGCAAAAGAAATTGATTTAAATTTAAACCAAATTTTAAACTTTTTCCCAAAAGATTTTTCCTGTTTTTTTTTAATATAATTCAGCATAATTAATTATATTAATTATGCAAACAAAAAAAAGAAATGAAATATTTGAAAAAAAAAATGAGAATTTTGATATTTATGAAAAATAATTCATTAATTAAGAATTTTCTAATCAAAAAATTTCTACAATGAATAAAATAATATGCTGTGAAAATTGAATTTCTTTTTCTTTTTTCTTGTCAATAAATTTTATTTAAATTAATTTTTTTAATAAAAAAGTTTTAGATTTGGATTATGCTTAATATTGTTGGCTTATTTATGGAATATGGTTGTAGAGGATTGTATGGAATTAAGGAAATACAAGAATGGCGTGAAAAGCATATCACCGATACAGCATTTCGTCGTATCATTGCTTGCTCTCATATTGTACCATTCGTCCTCGGTCTTTATTCAAACTTTTACTTTCTAGGAGGACTTGAAGTAGGCTCAATGTTTGTTGAGCGCATTTGGTATGAGGAAACGGTAGCATTACGATTTCCGGCCATTTTATTGATTACATTAGCATATTTCTACTCCCAAGTTTGCATTGAAATTGATCGAAAACTTAATTTAACGGCCGTTAAAAATAATTCCAAAAAGCTTTGCTAACAAAAATTGTTGACGAATTAATGAAAATTTGAAGAAGGATTGAGAGGTTAGGAATCGAAATTGAAAAAAAGATGAAATGAAATGATTAAAATGAATATTTTGATAAATGATCAAATATTGCTTTTAAAAATTGAGAATCTGAATTAGAAAAAGAAGATGAATAGTAGTAAATATTTGATAAATCTATTACGAATAGAAACTGAAAATAGCGATTTTTTTGAGAGCATTATTTTTATAGTACTTGTTTATCGTTGATAATGATTATTTTGAGGGCTCATAATTCTATTATAAAATTAAAAAAATACAACTAATAAAATTTAAAAATAACCCTGATTATTGCTAGGCTATAAACTGTTCTATCATGCCTTATAGTGAAAGAACATTTTTACAAAAATGATCAATCTATGCTTGTTGCAAGTTTTTTTCATAATAGCTTAAAAGCAATTTTGATAAAAATCAAAAGTGCAAAAATATGGTAACTTATGATTACAAATGGTAATTTAAACTTCATTTTCATTATAATTAGTGAATTTTTAAAATTTGCACTATTTATGCAAATATCCTAATTAAGTCTTACCGACGATATGAAATTAGTATTAAATCAATTATATCTTATGATGACAGATGAGATACTAAAGAACATCTTGCACGTATGAGATTATGCAATCAAATAAATTTCATGCAAATTTTGGAAAAAAAGAGCAAAATTCAAACCGCAATGCATTTCGTCAGATCCATCACTACACGCTTGCAATCCATCACAACGTGTTTCTAACGGAACGCATTCACCACTACCACATTCCCAGAAATTTTCCGGACACCGACGGAAATTATACGATGCTATAAAATTTTGATAAATGTAAATTCATTTGGTACCTTACAGAATACATGGACTACGCAACACGAAAAAGTACGTGTATTTATATTCCTAGCTTCTTAAACGACGAATGATTAATAACTTTAAGCTATCAACAATGATTATTTTGAGTTATATTTCTCACTATAAATGTTTTTTAATTTTTGACACCCATCATAATCCGTTGTAGTTGATAATGTTTATAAATAATAATTATATAATTACTGATAACGATGATAGTGACGATGATCAATTTTGATATTGTTCTCATTGTTAAAAAGCTTTAATATTTATTATTAAGCAATGATTAGAGCATTATCAATGGCAAATTAATTGTGTACGTATAAATTCGATCACTATTAGATATCAATAAAAAAAGAAGAAACCCGTCAATCATTCCGCTTAATTATCCATTTTTCCTTCAACTTAAATTTAATCAATCATCAATTTTAATAATGAAAATAATTGCGAATTGCATTCAAATTTTCAGCTTAAAAAACAAACTTACAATAGGTTTTGCAACATTTCCCCTCTATGCATACTGTATCTGATGGACAAACCGAATCACTCCAACAATATGTAGAACCATGCCTAAATCGATTTTCAATTTTTTTTCATGTTTTTTCAATCAAATTTTTAGTTCCATTGAATAAAAGCCATCATCGTGTATGAGTCAGTTGAAATGATAGATGAGAAAATTCATTCATTCAGATTTTTTCGTGAAATTTTCAAAACAAAAAAGCTGAATGATTAATACTGTTGGATATAATAACGATATTAATCGGTAAGCTATTTTGTTTAATTTAAGAAGCGAACAATTATTTGTAAATTGTCGAAAGAAATTTCCTTTATGCAAAAACTTCGCTAAAATTGTTTCGGTTTATTTTTTAAGTGAATTTTAATAATAAATTATATTTTTTCTAAATTCATAAATTTGCGGATAATATATAAATTTTGATAATTAACCATGTCTGTCGAGAGTGAAAATGATCATAAGATAAGAAAAAGTTTGGAAAAAATCGTTAAATTAAAATTGTCCCTTCAGGTGAACGTTAATGAGAGGTAAACATCAATTCCTTCTTCAATAGAAGAGCTGACACAAAAGCTTTTAATCAAATGGCAAAGCAATCTGTTCTTCTATCAATACAAATAGATGAGAATGAAAAATGTTAGTAAGCGCTGTGTGAGAAAAATATTTCGTTTAAAAGAAAGCTACAAATTAGACCTTTCTTTCTGATGCTTACAACTAAATTAAGAAGAGTGAGTTGAAAATGAAAATTAGTAAAGCTAAAGATTACTGTAACTGTTAAAAGAAGTTATATCAATAGGTTAGTTCAATAGAATGAATGATCAATGTCAAAGTAAAATTATTTAATTATATTTTAAAACTGCATTTAAATTGTTTGAAATTATTTATGAATTAAATAAAAATTCAGTTTCTGTTGCAATCTTTGTTCTAAAAAAAGTAAACGAAATAATTATTGGCAACTAAATATGACCGGAAATTAAGGATATCAATAATAAAAGCAATATTATTCAAAAAACAATTTACAGGCTAAATTCCGGTATTGAACCATCCGGGCATTTAACGGTGGGTTGTGCCGCCAGCCATTTCAATTTTTTGTTAATATTACGTGATATAGTATTGCAGTTTGCTTCGTCAGCTACATCCGTGCAATCACGTTTGCCATTACAAATGACGGTTCGAGGTAAACAGAAATTGTCAATTTGACACAAATATTCATCGGATTCACATAAAGCTGCTGAAAGTAAGCCATTTATAAAAGTCTATTGACATTGATAAGATCGATTCATAGATCAATGAAAGCGTAAGGCTATCAACTGAAATGACCAAACGAATCATTGGAATTGAGGATAATATCATCTGCCATGAAATGTACCAGTCTTTTAACGTGTTAAGAATCAGAAATGCAAAATTATTTGATTTGAGAAATAACGATGATATCCAAGAAATCCGGTCTATGATCATGCATATTAATTTTATTAATTATTACATTAATTGTGTAATTACACTAGTTTCAAATTTTTATTAATTTATCTTAATTGTTGTAACAAACAATCTATAAAATGTCTAATTCATTTATTCGTTTGGTATCTTAAAGATTCGGTTTTTTTGCAGAAAAATTAGAAGTTCGAAAGGTTTGCAGGTGGATTATGTAATATTTGCTAGTATTTTCTTTAGGTTTGTTTCTTTGTTTGTTTTTGATTAGAAGTATATAACATATCTGTCAGTATTTATCAATTTGCTACAACTTTATCCATAAAAACTTGAAATTTTAACATTTCTACTGAGATCGACGTTCGGTACATTTAAAAAACAATAAGTCATAAGTTTACAATGAGTCATCAGTCACGGTTTTTTGAAAAAGCGTTTTGTACAATTGAAAAAATCATAAAAATAATGGTTTTTTAAAAACTTTTCTATCTCTCTCATTACTAAATAGACAAGTATTTAGTTAGATATATTAAATGTTGAAAACTTCATTTTTTCAACAACTTAAAAGTAAGAAATATTCCTTGTAAGAACCGAAAAACGACGTATCCGCCAGATGAGTGACGGGTGATTCGGCTATATTTTCTTGTGACTATGCAACAAGCGTAGTGCTTTATTAAAATATCAATAAAATCAGGAAAATGATAAATTACTGACTACAAACTATCCGATTGATAATTCGTTTATGGAATGTACTCATTTGTAGATAAATGCAGGACTAAAAAAGAATTACTTTCTATGTCGGTCACTTCCTGCATTTTATCCATTAATGGTAGAAATTATTTTCGTTTTTCTTGTCCATTTTAAATTTAACGTATCTCTACCTGTGCAGTTGTTTTCATTTAGGCATTTCTTTTTGATAATTCCACCATTTGTTGAAACATTTATAGCTATCGCTTCTTTAATACCGTTGATATCTAATTCATATACGCCACTATTATCAGTGCTAATATTATCAATCAACAAATAATACTTCATTGAGGTGTTGTAATACCGTATCATCCCATCATCATGTTCTATCAGTTTGCCGTTGTGAAGCCATCGAGCCTGAAATGCTTAGAGCAGTTCGGGATCATCGGAATACTATTTCCTAAATATAAAAGTGTTGATAGTCGAGAATTGAACCTTAGTTTCAATAAATTATTTGGATTCTAATCAAGCAACATTATCCTATAAATAGCAATAAATTCTTCCAATCAAAACATATATGTGAATCATTTCAAACAAACTTTAAAATTGGAAGGTTGGGATTCTAAGTTTCTTTTCAGAAAACTACGTGTGAGCATTCATTCTTCCTAAAAACGATATAAACTTTTCGTAATAAATCAAATAATTGTTGTGATCAACGGTTAACATATATACAAATAATTCAAAACTATTGAAACTATTCTCAAAATACCTTATGAGGTGGGAAAATGCCATTTACATCCGCTGATATTCGAATCGAGTCACCCGGTAGAAGGACTGCATGAGGTGAAATCAATATTATTGTCCCATTTTTTGATTCACAATGGACTGCAACTGATGAGAAATTACTATTTTATCTAATTTATTTTAAAATTGTTTATTATTGATTTGTATTAATTAAGTTATTTTACGATAAAATTTTTGAATAATTTAATGAAAATAATTATTTGTTAAGCTAAAAATAGTTTAAAAATTAAAGAATTTAGCACATTATCTATGTCAGAGTCATACAAATTATTTATAAAATAAAAGTTAATGTTATAAATATTGTCAATAATTATACTTTTGTTTACAATTCACTTTGCATTATTTTATTGCCAACTGTTTTCTTTTTTAACAAACAAACTAAAATTTATTTTACTGCTTTTTTTAATTTATTCGTTTACTATTTGTTTATTATCATTTAATCAATTCACCTTCATCACTGCCATCTGAACATTGTTCCTCGCCATCACAACGTTGATTAATATCAATGCAAGATCCATCATCACATTTGAATTGCAAAGTTGAACAATTGATCATAATTGGTGCCTCTAAATAAGCATATTCTTTATTGCTTCATTTGATATAAGCTGATAAGAGGACAAATGTGCAGAATGGTTTGATTATGATATTTGTTTGTTAACAAGACTGATAAAAATTCTTTCCTTGATAAATCCAAAACTTTTTCATCCATTTCAAATTATTTATTTTTTTGATCAAAATAAAAATGCCTATTTTTTCATATGGTTGAAAAAATTGAGATTAATTTTTTTCATGAACTTTTATCTGCATGTTTTTTTGATAATTGAAAAATTATTATTTTGAATTGATGAGATTAATATAAGAAGTTCAATTAGACTTGAAAAATGTAACGTCTGACTATTTGAATTCAATATATGAATAAATGAATGAATTAATTAATTAAACCGATCGATTAAATCAAATAAACATAAATATCAAAGTTGGAAAAAAACTAGGACTTCGATAGTCAAAATTGATTTTACAACTCTAAACTTTAATGTTTGAGTTGAAGAATGGGAAAACGTTGCATAATGCGACACTTTGACTAACAGAAACGATCGATGTTTCTTTTTCTTAATGAAACAAAAATGTTCAAAAAATTGAAATTTTTTAATTTCAAATTATAATTTGTAAATTATTAATAATTTGATTATTTCTCTCTTCAAAATCATAATAAACAATTGCAGCTATAAATTTATTTTGTTAATATAATTTTTTAAAAAATAAATTTTATACAACAAAGATGTCATTCATAGTATGCAAGCGAAAGAAATCAAATTCAAATGTAAATAAGTAATCAAAGAAATCAATACAATTAGTCATATATTATGCATTAAATTCAAATAAAACAACCGACCGTATTATTTTCCGCATCATTTGTTCTTATCCATCTATTGGATTAGAAATTTTTTCCTTTCAATATTTCAAGTATCAAATTCAATTAACAAAATAGTTTAATTATTGAAATGTCACAATTTATAAGGCATATTATTGATTATAACTATTTACTGTTGCAACTGTTATGAATTATATTCATAATTACGAATGACATAGTACGAAAGGTAACAATAAATTAATGAATGAATTGAAATGGAATAGTTATAATTACTTATTTAGTCAACCATTTATTTCCTTTCATCTTTGAAATAATATAAAAATGAAAATTTCGTTCTTAATTTCATCAATGCTAATTAAATACATTATTTGAATTCATTGTAACCTTTCATAGTGTTACTATCATTTTACTTCTATTTCTTCAGTAATAATTATTGACACCATCGTTGTATTGTCACATTATCTATGTGACATTCAATTAATTCTAATGAATTCTATTCATTAAATTGTCATAACTAAAAACGAGAAAGAGAGAGAAAGAGGAAGAAAGAGAGAGAGAAATAAAATAAAATAGTATGGAGAGTAAAATTAAGAAATTTATTATATTAGTCTTTTAACTTACTATTTCAAAGATTAATTTTTGTTTTGAATTTGCTTGCAAAAATAAATCACAAAAAAAAGAATGTTTGCAACAAAAATTATTTATCTTTCGCCAGCCTTCCTTCCAGCTCATCTTTACAATGAAATCTTTTAAAACAAAAAGCTCACTGTCGGCTGGCTCTCTTTTCCTTCTAACTAATTCTTACCGCAAAAGTTTGCTAATTATCGTTTGTGCAAAACACAGTGCGCAAACAAAAATTCACATTTTTATGGAAATGTCTTATTTGTACGCGTGTTATTCAAACAACTTTAAAATTAAATTTATTTAAATAAAATAATTAAAAAAGAATTATTAATAAGAAAAGAGAAAGGGTAAATGTAAAGAGAAAAGGGAAAAGAAAAAGAATAAGAAAAGAGAAAGGGAAATGAAAGATTGAAATAATTTAAATAAAATTTTATCGAATTTCATAATGCGTATCGGACATTTTTAATTAATAGCAAATATTAAATGAATGAATTCAATTCGACGAATTTCCCATTTTTGTTTATTTTTTGTTATGAAATGTTATTATTTTCGACAAATAGCAAATTTTCGAATTATTTTCCAAAGTAAAACAAAAAGAATTATTACAAAAAAAAGAGAAATTTTTGAAGATTTCGTTAATTTATGATTGATAATTATTTATTCTATTCTATATTTTATGCAAATTATGAGAAATTTTAAACTAAATAATATTATTATAGCTTGCATATGTACTAAATGATAATACTAAATGATCTTATTGCATTGCATTACATGAAGAATAATAATAGAAATAGTTGAATTAAAAACTAAAGGAAACAATTTTTGGGTGATATTTGGGTATAGAAACATGTGAATACTTATTAAACAGGAATAGAAAAGGAATTAAAATATTCTTCAGAATGAATGAATTAATGATAATCGATATTAATTATTTCATTTATTGTACTTGCCAGTAAGGAATTAATTAAAAGAAAATTGAAATAAACTTTATTTATTCCAAATAAAAAAGTAATGAATTATATTAAATTTTATGGAAACTTTGCCGAAATTTTCTAATAAGTTAGAAAGAAAGGAAATATTTTATTGACCCTTCAATGTATAATATTGGAAACCATTGAAACCAACGGCATATTCTCCGATTTTTCCTTTTCGTATTGCCTTTTCGATAGTTTTTCTCAATTTTGGTTGAGCTTGCCGTGATCTTATCTCGACTGTCACCAAAGTACCAATTCCTTGCTGATACCTGCATTGTTTGGTAGCATTTCTAATGCATCATATTCATATTAAAGTCATTTATTATTTTATATTTTACATATGCAAAGAACGATTACATAGCTTTATTGCTCTGAAAATTTTGATTGCAATTTTTAAATTGCGCCATTCCAGAATAATAAACATTGGTAAACGTAATTTTAAGTTGAACGTTTATAAATTTATGAGTTGGAAACAAAATTTTTTATAGTTATCCATCTTCCATTTACTTCCATGGAATGAGTTGTGAGTTGGGAGAGAGGCAAATTTCTTATGGCCAAGTGATGAGGTAAACGCTGAGAATTCCAAGTTCTACACTAATTGTCATATTAAATGAATTTTATTAGAAAATAGCCAAGTTTTTATTACAGATGAAAAAATAATAAAAAAATTTAATTAAGATTTTATGCATAAATAAGATTATTAACTAATGTATATAATAGACCTGTAACTAATAATTGAAATATTGCGTTGGCCAGGTAATGCTGCTAAAACAGCCTGAAGAGTATCCGCGATTTGTCGGCTGGTACGAATAAATTGCTTAGCATATGGATAATGCAGCTCATTAGAATATGGCAAATCAGTAAAATTAATGATAAATCGATGTACAACAAGAAAAGTTGTAGCAGTAATTAACGATGGTACTAATATCATCGTCTTGAATGATTGGAATAGATAAATTTGAATATATAAATGAATCAATCAATCCTTCGTAGAAGCTAAATTTTGTTAGGAATTAAATTTTGGTAATCTTAAAAACGCCAAAAACATTTCGAGCTCATTTCATTAATTTAAATAGTAAAAGATGAAAAACTGTACCAAATTTGTTGAAAAGCATTATCACTACGAGGACGCTCAATGAATGCTTGTCAATTTTAATTTGTTAAGTAGCAACATATTATAAAAGATATAAGAAGGAAGAGGGGACTGATTGCAATAACGGCGATAAATTATTCCTTAATCTTTTTTATGAAAGCATTATATTAATAATAACAAATAGTAGTAGTAATAATAATAATAATAATAATAATAATAATAATAATAATAATAATAATAATAATAATAATAATAAATAGTAGTAAATAACAGTAATAACAATAATAATAAATAATAGTAGTTAATAATAATAATAATGATGATGATATATAATAATAATTGATAATAATAATAAAATTGATGACTATTATTAGGACATAATATTCTAATGATTGAAGAAATGAGTTACAATATGACAATATGGTAATAATATAATAATTATGTAATTCTAATATGATCATATAACAATGATAATATAATGATGATATCGTTCTACCGATATGATCGTAATAATAATAATGTGATAGGGCTTCTTCTAAAGCCAAACGATACTCCACCCTTCACTCCCGCTTGCTTACTCATCGATACCCGAGGAAGAGATAAAGTGAAGTGTAGAGAAGGTACCGTCCCATGAATTTACAGGATATATACCCGTGCAGCATATTTACTTTTATATACTTTTAAATATTTACAAATTGAGAGAAAGGGAAGAAAAGCTCTTTGATTCTTTTTTCCTATCCAACCACCCGTATGCCTGCCTCTAATCTGTTTAGTTCATTTTCTCATTTCTTCTTTTGCATATTTTCATATTTACTTAAAGGGATTAAATAAGAAGGAAAAATGAACGGAAAAAGAAAATAATTTAGTTTGCAAAAAACGGAATGGATATATCTTTCCGGAATGGATAAAACAAGGTATAAAAGTGATGAAAGTTGTATGGGAAAAAATTTCCCGAGATTACTTGAAAAAGAAACAAAAATAGAAAGAACGGGAAAAAGCGGAAAAAGGAAAACTGATGTGATACGCGGAGATTGGCTGGTTGGTTGGTTATTTGCTTGCTTATCTCTTCCATTCCTTTCATTCCAAAGTGAATGCATACTATACTATCATTTGTCTAGACCGTAGTTTTTTCTTCTTCCTCTTTTTTTATATTTCGTATCGTACAAATAATTCTCATTCATACCTTTAAACATCTCTCTCTCTCTCTTTCTCCCTCTCTCTCCTCTTTTCTCTTTTTAAAAGGGACAATTAAAAAAGGAAAACTTAAAATTAAAGAATTTAATAATTGAAATTAAAATTTTTCCCAAAAGGGTAGAATTATTTTCAATAAAGAATGAAAGGATGGAATTTTTTCTCAAATATTTCGAAATTTATAACAAATTTTAATATTTGAAAACTATTAAAAGATTAATGCCTTTTAAATATATTTAAGTAATCATTTAACAGTCTAAAATGCTTTGTTAATTTATCTCTAAAGCAATTTGAACTATCAATTCTGTTAACTAATAATTGTAAGTGTTGAAATAGTTAATTCATAATTATGAGCGACTGATATGATTAAATGAAAAGCGTTGATAGTGGACAGGGATTGATTGATAATTATAATAGCTGAGAGGATTTAACTTTACAGCAACAACTATTGATGTGATCAAAAATTTGTCGAAATTACAACTTTGAAAATTTTAAATTACGAAAAGTTGGCACAAACCGAATGAAATATTCGATTCATTGATGATCGCTGAATCATCGTCGATTCCGTCTGAATTCAGTAAAATGATCAATTCGTCTGTTATGTTACTACTGCTGCTGCTATGATTTGATATATCATCCAAATGTACCGCAACTGTACAGAATAATAATAACAGAAATTTATCAAAATTGAATATAATTCCAGATTGCCAAGCATGCATGATGCATGCGTGATAAACATAGACAGTTGGATGATGAAGATACAATGTGATTGTATGTGCGGTGATAAAGGCCGATGTGTACTTCTAAAGATGATTAACAAAATTCATTACCCAAATTCCTGGTTGGAGATATAAGGAAGAAGGAGATGAAGGGGAGGAAAAAGACGAACGAAAGATAAATAGATTGATTGATTGATAAGAATAGAACTCATAAACATTATCATCATCATGTCGCCAAATTAACTATATATCTATATTATATACATAGCATGTGTGTGACATTGATTCGCAAACGTTATCATCCTTATCACTAGTATTGTCGTCAGTGATAACATCATCGCTAATATCGTTATCAACATCAGTACAATTGCTATTATCATTATTATTACTCATACAATAATCATTTTTTGACCGATCATTATTTCCTATTTCCTACTAAGACATTAATATTATCATAACAAACTAACGCTAATAATGTCATCATAAATAGTTATATCAAACAAAATAACGAAAAAAAGAGGAAGAATTTCAATTTTTATTTCATTTGCATACATTTCTTATTTGATCAATCAGTTTGATTTTTTCTTATCAGCGTTATCACTTCCGGCTGCAATATTATAAGCATTCTTGATTCCTTGCAATTCAGGTACTACTTCTTTCTTCATGAAATTAATTAACGCATCAACTTTCGCTTTAATAGCCGGTATAGCTTTCTGAAATTTGATTTTTTAAACCGTTTCAACTATCACATATTTGGTCGCTTCATTACAGAAAATTAGGACTTAATTTAAAATTATGGATTTCAGAGATTGGTTTTTTCCTTTTTTTCCTGTTCTAAAATTATAACGGAAATAATTGAAGGTTCCGATAATAACAGCAGCTATCGAATTTCCGATTTGTTTTATTTTTTCAATTTCAAAAAACACACAACTAAATCTAAATATTTTTTATATATCAATCCTTTTATACACGTTATGACGCATAGTATAATAAATGCATGAAATTTATTTTTGGATTAAAATATGAATTTATATATCTTCTAATTATTCATTCGGTTGATTCATTTTATAACTGCTGTAATGCAACATATGCTTTACAGTTGTTTAGGGAATAAATAACCAAAGACGTACAATTATCAAATAGATTGAACTGAAATATAAGAAAAGAAATTAATAATTTAGTTGTCATTTTGGTTCAATTAAGACTGAAAAATTATCATTCTAATCACTACAATTACTTGAATTTAATTTTGATCATTCCTAGAAATTTCATAGCATTTGAAATTTTTAAAGTATGGATAAAGTCAAGGGCTCGAATTTTTTTCACATCACGTTTGAATTGTCTTTAATTGATTAATTAATCGGTTGAAAATTCAATAATAATGAGAAACCTCCTTGATCCAATGCTGAATATGTCGATGTGTTTCGGGATCTTTCAGTTTATCTTTAGCTTCTTCAAATGTCTCACGTACCGTTGGAGCAGCTTTTTCTTTGATATAATCAGCACCGGAAACGATTTTCCCATGTAAGCCATTTACCAAATCATCGAACCAATCTGCTTCCGTTAAGCAGAAAAAAGTATTAAACGTAATAAACGTGTAAATAATAAAGCGTAACAATTGCATCACTGAAATAAACAATTATTATTTTGTATAAAAGTATCATTTATACATTAATAAATACGTAGCAATCATCGATAAACACTTTGCTGTAATGATTTATCGATTGGTTGTTGTTTAAATTTCTTCAACACATATGCATAAATAATGTCGTATATATGTTGAAGAATTGGTTAATGCGTTATTTAACAAATGCGGATAAAAAGTAAAAAGGGATAGATTTTAATAGTAATTTCAAATTACTTGTTGAAATAGAGAAATTAATTACGGAAGGAGAAAGGAAGAATGGATGAATACTGACAAATAATGAGTGAGTGATCAACAAATGGCAGTGATGACATTTTCTTCCCATAATTGTCAATCATTAATGAATCATTCTGTAATGATTTCTTCATTGATAACATATTATCTCAAATATTATTGATAGATTTTGTTATTATTTGACTTTTAAATAAATCTGATTAATTTTAAACTGAAATGAAATGTTAAGAATTTGTTGGTTATTTTTATTCCAATATAATATTCAATTCGAATTATGTTTATCTTCATTTTCACTTTCCTCTTTCAACATTCTGCTTTATCACATCATAATTATTAATTAAATTTTATGAAATTAATTACTTAATTTAGAACAAATTAAATAACCATTATTTGCATCATAATTTAATCATACATTTTCTATCATACATATTTTATATCATACGCAAAACCAACATATTAAACATCAATATTAGTTTACAACGTTTTTTTCTCATTTTTCTGCAGAAAAAGTTATTTCGTTAATAAAATACGCTTTTATTATCAATTATACATATTTAGTTCATTCAAATTGTTTATTTTTTAATTATTATTATCGAAAGATTTTACTACAAAATGAAATTGATTATTGAATGATCGATTGGTTTTTATCATTTATAAATGTTAATTAATTTTATTTGCTTGTTCAGTTATTGATTAAAAAAAAAGAGAATTGATTATCATTTTTGTTCATCGATTCATATTTAATTATTACTATTTTCACCTTTTAGTTTTCAGCAAATTGTTGAATAATTTTATTTGATCATTGCCATCAAAATTTATAAAGCTTTCGTTGATTCTCAATTACTCATTTATCTTATAAATGGGTAATTCTATTTTTTGTGACTAAAATATAATTATTGCAGACAATTTTATTATTAAATAAAAGACGAAGAAAATGGAAAATCATTTAAGTTCATTCTTATCTTTCATCAAAAACTCAAAAGCTAACAAATCGATGAATATTCTTCTTGTTATTTCAACAGTGCTACTACTGATAATACAATTACTTTTAAAATTTAACAATAGCTATTATTTTCAATTAAATGGTAGTGTTGGAATTTGTAATGTATTTGCTCCGATCGCTCTTCTTGCTACCCGTTCGTTGTTCCAGTTCTTTTCATTTCAATCTTTCAGGTCTTTTTTCCCTTCCCCTCTCTTTTAATGAATATATATTTGGTAGTACTATCGATGAGGCGAGAAGAGACCTATGATAGCAACAATAATACCGTTTTTAAAGAAAATATCGGTAATGTTAAAAATGTGCAACAAATATTTTTGGCATTATCGTTAACAATTATCGTCCATCTGTTTTCCATCAATTTTAAAAAGGATGGGAGAGGAAGGGAAGAAGCAAAAAAGAGAAAACATCGGTAATGTTAAGTTTACAAAAAAGAACTTTTTTGATTTAATTTGGAGAAGGATGCCATTTTGAGAGACAGAAAGAGAGAGAGAGAGAGAGAGAGGGAGGAAAGAGTCCTTATCGAGAGAGAAAAGGCGAAAAAAAGAGAAAAAAAGGAATGTTAAAAAAGATGAAAAATGCCTGCCATTTGGGGAAAAGATACATTCCAAAAAAAATCTTTCATTAATAATAAAATTTAATTTATAAATGGAAGACTTAAAAACTGAAATTTATAAAAGTTTATTATTAGTTGTAAAATTTTTCGTTATATCTTTCGATATCTCATCGAATTAGTTACACTATAAAGTGTTAAAGTTTGATGAATGGGATAGTTGTTTGCATAATAGTATCCTCAATTATTTGGTTTTCTGAGGATAGTATATTGTGAAGTTCTAATTAATTTTTTTAGAATTAGAAGGCAAAGTTTAGAAGATTAATTGATACTTTGACAGCAAATTTAAGAATGAAGAAAAAAATAGAGAAACCACTTCATCAATACTATAAAATTAATGATTTTGTTGCATTAATTGCATAAAATATAATTAAAAATTGTTTTGTTTCCATTAAATGATTCGTCATGCATTCAATACTTTACCATCCTTTTTCTCTTTTTGGGAAATTTAATAAAATCTTTTTTTTAAATAATTCATATATTTAAAGAATAAATTTAATGACAATTTACTGACAAAATAATTTCATCTAAAATGGCAATATTAATTGAAATGACTTCAAAAATAATCATTTCGTTACATTCACAATTGATTTTATGTGCTTTTGAATTTCTTTGTTTTTTTCAAAATATATTATTAATTGATGCACAAAAAGGTAAAGTTAAAAAGAGCGAGAAGACTATTATGAATCTTTACTACCGGAATAGAAGAATGAAAAAAGAATTCTTTCCAGACATACCGGATTCTCTCCATTCCTTTTCCATTTCCCACATATTTGTAAATGTTACTTTTTTTTTCTGATGGATTAATCATTTTTCTTATTGCAAATTTTGGTTAAGAAGGAACAAAATGTCAGTTTATCTACTGATCGATCCATTTATCTATCAGACGACGATACTATTCAAGGGCTCATCTACCTATCATAAAATGATATTATTCAGGGTCTAATACCAGAAAATGATACTATCCATACACTCCATGTTTGTTATTGTCATTCAAATGGTAGTTGTAAATATCGATAGAGATAAATATGCTTATCAATGATAAAAAGAAACGAGAGAAAAAGTTCCATTTTTTAAATCTCTATATGCTTTATCAAAATGCAGCGAATGATAGAATGAAAAGAAAAATGAAATGGGAGAAAGCAGAGGGAAAGAAAGAAAGAAAAAAGTGGGGAAAGAAAAGAAAAAAAGCGGAGAAGATCAGGGAAAAAAAGGAAACAAATTGTTAAAATTTATCAAAACATCAAACATTGGATAAAAAGATATATGGATACGGTGAATTTTTCATCATTTCACTGATTATATTCCGTTATAATCATCAATTTATTTTGTCAAAAGCTGGCACCAATTATTACTTTAAAAATTTGATATTTAAATTCGAATAAAAATTTCATTGTTAAATCCATTTCTATCAATTATATATTTTATTACATAATCTCTTCCTAAATTAAAAAAAGTTCATTCGTCAGTTTATAATTTTCTTAAGCTCAGTTGACCCTAAATAATTCAACTGAACTTTAATTTAATTTTTTCTCTATCTACACATAATGCCATACTATAACACTTTTATGTTTCATTTCTTCTATTGTTTCTTAATTAATTTAATCTTTAAGAACAATGTTGCTTTTATTTACTTATTGAAAAAAAAGAACTTTCACTAAACGAAACAACGAACAATCCGTCTCTTTTCTCTCTTTCTTTCTTTCCCTCTCTCTCTCTTCTCCTCTTTCCTTTCATGAATACGAATTTATTAATCTATGCTATATATAGATATATGTATATATTTATTTATACAGCGATATATCAGCGTCGATCATTTTTTAGGATGGTGCAATGTAGTACAATTGTTACAATGTTTCCTGTCTCGATCTATTTTTACAGACAGATATTTTTTTTAATTCTAAAAATGATAGATTGATAGAGAGAGGGAGAGAGAGGGGAAGAGAGAGAGAGAGAGAGAGAGGGACAAATGCGAAAAAATTGTTAGTTATGTAAACATGTATTAAAAAATTGAAAATATGATATGAAATTAATGCTATATTATTGCCTATTAAATCAAAATAATTAATTTATTTTTGAAAATTTAAATTTATGACAAAAGAATGTGTGATTTTATTCAGAAAATTTCCTATGCTTTAATATTAACTAATTTATATTAATCATCATTGCACAAATTTTCGAAATTCAAATATTATAATAATCTTTCTTCAAACACACACACACACACACACACACACACACATAGTTTATATTTAAACTATAAGTGTAACTATTTATTTTATGATGATAAATTTCACATTATTAAATGATCTCCGCAGTTCGAATTTATTCATACAATACTTTATTTAAATATATATATGCTAACAAAATTGTTTGTTTGGAATTTTTTAATTAATAAAAATGATAATTTAAACTAAAACAAATTATTTTGGTAATGATAACATTTATGATAGCGTTATAATGAAATTAATAAAAAATTGCAAACATTTCTAAAATTATCGATTAAATTCTAATTATATAATAAAATTCTTTATGATAATTTCTTTTCTTTCATCTAACATAATAAAATTAATAAGAAATTTTATATAATAAAAGAGAAAAAATTTGTTGAAAGTTGAAATTTAATTTTTCGTAAATTTCAACAATGTTTGGAATAAAATGGTAGAGGGATTAGTTTGATAGTAAATGAAATGGAAAGGATGAGTAATCATTTCAACTATAGTTTATATACTGTCACAAATCTTCATCACAATTCTGCTCTTTGGACTATTTTTAAGTCGAATTTTAAATTATAGAAAAATGATATAAAAATTTGGAATGCATTATACATAGACGGCTGAAATAAATGGAACTGTCAACAACAATGCGTATCGCTACGTAAAATTTATTAACAATTGAATATTGTAATGATCGAAATTGAAAGAAGAAAATATCAAATCGATTCATTTCATTTCCCTTTTTATTTAAATAAATTTAATTTTTTAAGAATTCAAATTAAAAAATAAGAAGAAAATTAAATAAAATTATGTCCAGTGCAGGCTTTTTTATCTTTTCAAAATATTTTTTAATTTAATATTGAAATTATACGTAATGGAATTCTTTCTATGCAATACCTTTATTGCACCTGCTCAAAAT